GTCGATTTTTAAGAAGAAATGATCTTGCTAGAAATGCATCATCTGTTTATGGAAGATTACACCCTCCACCCATGCGAGGCCTGGGCCAGGGAAGGAACGGGATGGCAATTAGACAGGGAGCTGCTGTCTGGTCTGGGCATCTGGAGCATGAATGGGAAACTGCTGTTGACTCTCATGTATAATCACAGGATTGAGAGGAATTAACTCTCCTGCTTTTAACTGTGCCCACCCTGCTCTCCAGTGCCACAGAGGTGAACAGAGCTAAGGCAGGTGTCTGCATAAAAGAATGTTTCAAAGATTAATTTTAGCGTATTTTTAAGACTTCAAGAAATTTAAGAAAATAACAAGCATAGTGAATGATCTTCCTTGTTCCATTTCCTAAAGTAAAGCATTTTATTCCATTTGTCGTGGTGGAGTCCTAGAGTCAAGCGCTGGGGAAAGGCCAAGCAGTGGCCAGGATCAGTTTGCAAAGTAATGCCTCGTAACGCCATGGCTTTGTTGAGTGTCAGCTGCTACCCAAGCTTTTCATCTCTCCTTTTTTTCCCAAAAAAAATTGTTAACCCAAGGTTGAATATATTGTTGAGATCCAATGAGAGAATTCATTTGGATATATTTTCTGTAGAGATTTTTGGTTATTTGAGGAAGGCTTCACCTCCTGTTTGTTTTAAAAATGTGTTATTGTTTTTGTTAATTGTGGCTATTATTTACTCCAATCTGTGAAGTAACTTTGCTGGGGCTGAGAGCAAAGATGCCACAGGCCAATGTAGTTCCAGAGGCTTACAGTGAGCCACGGGGCCGTGGGCTGGCTGGCTCAGTAAACCAGCCAACTTTACCCCTTCTACAGCCACTGACTTCACCCTTGACACATAGCTTTACAGACGGGCACCATTTGTTACAAAGTCTGACCAGGTCAAATCTATGCTGATTTGCACACATGTGCACACGGACACAAGTTTATTGAGTTGTACTTTTATTCACTTGTAGTAAGTCAAACTAATACATTTATCAATCAGAACTAGTTTTTAATTTCCTTTAAATTCTTCTTTCTTAGCTTCTGTTCATTGTGAAAATAATTTTAAAATTCTGTCTCCTAATGCCTGTGGTATTTTTAGTGCTAATGACATTTTAAGTCCATGCGATAATGATACTGGTCTTCAGGATGGGTGGCTTGGGGATTTTTGGTGGGAGCATAACATCTTGAATAAAATCATCTGTAGCAAAACTCAAGTTTTATAAACATTTGAAAGGGTGCGTGCATGAGGGATCAGTCTTTCCCTTCTGCCCTTTCTGCCCTATAGGAAGCAGGCACACTCAGCTTTCCACCAGCCTGAGTGCCAGACACAGTCGGGCAGTGCTCAAGTTTGTTGGCAAAATGGTGCCACTTCATCCTCAGAAGGACTGACTTGGAGGCTGTTCCTGCTGTCCCATAAGTGGTGCACACACACCACGGAATGTTGGCCGTGGAGGAGAAAGAGACGTTGCCATTTGTGACAACGCAGATGGACCTGGAGGGCACTGTGTTCAGTGAAATAAGCCAGAGATACACAGATGCCATATGGTTTCACTTACAACTTGGAATCTTAAAAAATACAACAAATGAGCAGATAAGCAATAAGAAATAGACTCAAACTGGTGGTTGCCCTTGGGCAAAGGGGGGGTGGGTAGAAGGATGGGTAAAAGAGGTGAAGGACATAAAGAGGGACAAACTTCCAATTGTAAAATAAATTAGTCACAGGGATGAAAGTACAGGATAGGGAATATAGCCAATAGTATTATTGTCATATCTTTATGTGGTAACAGACGGTAACAGCACTCTCATGTGGTAAGCATGTCATAGTGTATATAATGGCCAAATCACTATGTCTCTGGACCTGAAACCTACAGAACACAATGTACCAGCAATCCTTCAATTCACAAACAACCTTGCTGTCTCTGCCCTGCCAGACTCCCTGTCCGTGTCCAGTAATGATGCCAGCCCGCCCGCCTCCGTGGCTTCCCTTCAGCCCCACATGATGGGGGCCCAGAGCTCCCCAGGCCCCAAGCGCCCAGGCAATACGCTGCGCAAGTGGCTGACGAGCCCGGTGCGGCGGCTGAGCAGTGGCAAGGCCGACGGGCACGTGAAGAAGCTGGCCCACAAGCACAAGAAGAGCCGGGAGGTGCGCAAGAGTGCCGACGCCGGCTCGCAGAAGGACTCGGACGACAGCGCGGCCACGCCTCAGGACGAGACCATTGAAGAGGTCAGAGCCCAGCTCCACTGGAGCCGGTTACCCCGTGCACGGCTGCACACCAGGACCCTCTGACGTTTTCAAGTTGTAGGAATAGCTGCTTGTCTCGGCAATACTTTAACTTGGTTCCCTTTTCCTTATGTACCTGGAAATGTCAGAGAGCCCCCGTCAATCCCGTGGGGACCAGCTCTGGCCGTGCAGCACGGCAGGCAGGACTGAGAGCCTTGCCCCAGGGTGCGGGCACCCCAGCCTGCTCTGGAAGGAGGTGGGTGCGGTGCTGCCCTGGCCCTGGTCTCCATGCCACCAGCCAAAACTGCGGCACCTTCAGCGCTGCAGAAGGGTGGATGGTCCCTGAGGTTGGCCCTGCCAGGGTAGCGGTGTCCTAGGGCGGAAAAGTATGCCTGTCGGAAGGAGCAGAGGAATGCGTGCACCTTCCTGCTTCTCCCGAGGTGTGCTCATGCTCACATCTTGGGCTGAGTAGTCAACAGCCAGTTAGTTCACTTTGCTAACCTAGGAGTAAAGACTAGGATATGCCCCTGTCGTCAAAGATGAAGGCATGCTGGGAATTTTTTTTTTCTCGTTTCGGGGGAGCACAGCTTTTCTGGTGCAAGGAACAGAACTCCTTATTCATTCCCCACTGGGCTGCCAGCCCTGGTCCTGTCAGTGAGGGAGGGGCCCTTGAATTTGTAATATAGACCCTCCCCTCTCCCAAGATCCCTCACAGACTCAGCGAAAAGAAGGCAGAACCAGAGCGTGCAGGTCCTCATGTCCTCATCCCTCTGTAAATCTATGCCCTCCTATTTAGAAGTTTTTTTCTAAAAGCAAGAATAGAGGAAAATCAGTGTGATTCTTAAGTCAAATTCTTACACTGCATGTTAGATTGCATTTTTCTTCACACCATTATTATTTCAGTGAGTTTTACTTTAGCAGGTTAACCAAAACAAAATGAAGGTGGAGCAGAGGAACTGAATCAGTGTGAGGGTTAGGGGGTCAAAGCTTTGGACCTTTATTTTTCTTCTGGCTCTTTGAGGAGGAGATGTGTCCAAAGCCTATTGGATTGTGTCGGTAGGTCAGGAGATGTCCTCAGTGCCCTTCTCCCCATGCTGGCAGGCTAGGTGGTGGGGTTGAAAGAAGAAATCAGAGGTTCCCATCAGGGCTGGAAAGAGCTTGCTCCTGGTACCTGCCATCTTGTTTCAGTCCTGGCTGTTCTTTGCCTGGGTTTCCTGTCTGTGCTCTGATCTTGACAGTTGGGCCTAGAACATAATGCGCAAACATTGCTTTGATTTCAGAGGGGCCGGAACGAGGGCCTGAGCAGTGGCACACTCTCTAAGTCGTCGTCCTCGGGCATGCAGAGCTGTGGAGAGGAGGAAGGGGAGGAGGGGGCCGATGCCGTGCCTCTGCCCCCACCCATGGCCATTCAGCAGCATAGCCTGCTCCAGCCAGACTCGCAGGACGACAAGGTAAGGGGGTCCCTGCTGCTGTCGAGGGGGCAGGTCTTGGGCAGCTGCCATGTGCCGGGAGTTGGCAGCTCGGGGGCTAGAAGAGGTGCCGGGAAAGCGTGTCGCTTTTCCAGGCTGAGTCAGCCTGGGTTCACCCAGTAGGATGAATATCCAGGTCCACTTAGGTGAAGCAGTTTCTCATACCATGTGCATTTGTTTTAGAACCAGAGCGCAGTTTCTCATACCATGTGCATTTGTTTTAGAACCTTCAGTGCTTTTTTAATGTTTCAGTAATTGCTGCTTTTAAAGTAACTAATTTCTTTCACTGTCCTGACTAGGGTCCCTGAGGGAATAATTAGAGAAGTAATGTGCAGTCTGTGTGATTGGGTCCCTGGGCAAATATCAGGCCATCTTGTTCTCTGTGATAGGTGTTTTGGCACACCAGGTTATACTGCCGTCCATTCCTTTTTCCAACACGCTAAACATTCATTGGTAGGATCAAACTGGAGTGTGGGGATAGTTGTCAAAGATAGGGATCAGTTCAAAGCTGTCAGTCTCTTTGGATATATGTGGAGGCTTCAAGCCAGGTAAAATCTTGGTTGTGTTGTGTTGTTTTGTAGTTCTTCCATAATCTAAAATTATCTTGTGTATGCCAGTTGTGGAGCCCTGACACACCAAAAAGGAACCCTGGTAGTGGTGGCTTGCACACCCCTCAAATCCTGGCCTGGTGTGCTTGTCAAAACTGGCAGGCATTGAAAACCATGCTATAAAGTCATTACTGGCAATTTTGGGGGGCAGTAACAAAGTTTTCTGAGTAAAACATGTTTTTCTCATTTCCCACGCTGCTCCCTTTTCCTTCCCTGACTCCCTCCTCAGTGCTGACACGGGCACTGCTGGATTGCCTCTGTCTTATGGCCTGGGACCTGCCCCAGCCCAGCGATTGACAGCTCTGAGGCCAAGCAAACCACACATTAGCCTTAAGGGGGACAGTCACCTGTCACTGCAGCCCCTCTCTATAGGATACTTGTGGCATTCAGAGCACAGTATGGCCCTGCAGTTCAACTGATGGACATAGCTTGGTTTAAGTCTGGAGTTCGGGGACATCTGAGTGCAGACCCTGTGCTGTGGGAGTGGGGGGCCTGCAACAAGAGGACCCCCCACCCACCCAGACCCACCCCGCACAGCGTGGACTCTCCCGGAAATGGGGCTGAGACAATTCCTGAGCTAGGGTGTGGCATTCTAAACTCTACCTTCCTTAAAAACAGAAAACCGGAATTTTTCACACCTGTATGATTATCCAAGTGAAGTGCTGGGCCTAGTTGACTGACTTAATAACATTTTTCTCCATTTAAACAGTAGATTGCACTATATTTTTCAGTTTGCTAAACTCATGTATTGGTTATTGTGGTACCTCATTGGATGTTACCAATAGCAGTTCCTCATTTACAAAAGTCTATAGTGATGTTCCCAGAAAGTATATTATCTTATGACTAATGTTTTGTTTTGTTCTGTTTTCTCTTTTTGTAAACTTTCACTGCAGCATTATGTTGATTTGTGTTCTGTGTCTGTTTTGGCTCAGTTTCCTTACCTCTCCATTTGAATTTTTTTCTTTGTTTTCTTCACTTCATATTCCGATTTCATTAGACCAAATCAACATTTGTTTTGCAAAGTGCATATCTGGATCCCCATATGTAAAAACCTCGTTGTAAATGTATAAATTCATATCTGTCTGCTGTGACAAATGCATCGCTAGGACAGCTAGCCGTGTGTCGCATGCATCTCTGCTGTCCTTAATATGAAGCAAGGTTCATATTACGCCCCTCTAGTTTCCAGTTAACTAACGGCGCAAGTAATCTGCAAACACACCGGGTTTGCTAATTACTGAAACATGAACTTAGTAGTCCCTCCCCCAGATTCCTTAACTGTCACCCCCTGTACACCCTGGTTCTAGCCGTAACTGGCATCTGATAGCTTGTGCGGCCACAGATCTTCTGTACTCTGCACTAATCATTGGGGAAATGGATGGCACAGAAAATGGTGAGCTTGTCCCCCCTCTTCCCTGTCTGGTCAGCGTACCCTGGTTCCTTTCCTTTTCTTTCTGTTTCTTCCTTTTAGCACCATGAACACAGCAAAGCCATTTTAGTATCCTGTTTTGCTTCCTGGTTATCTGAGGATTCAGGGACCTTAATTAAGCCTTTCATTCTTCCATTAATCAGATTCTCTATTTTTTTCTTTGGCCAATAGCCTAGCCAGCAATTGCAAAAGTTTCAGTTAGAATTTTCCCATGCCCAGTCACCTCTTGGAAAATATTATAATGTTACATGACTGCAGATTAAAAACAGACTTTGTCTGCCTTCCACATGTATCCCAGACAGGTTTTATTTAATATTTCATGTCAGAATACTGTAAATTTAAAAGGCTGACTTTAAATAAATGCAAACAAAGACAAACTCGTGGTCTTTTTGTCTGGAATTACTTTTGAAAAGAGATTGAGCTTGCAGGGGGATGCACTGTCTGTCCAGTGACTAACTAACACGAGGCATTCTCCTCCCCCCTTTCTTTTTCTCAACTCCTTCCCCAGGCCTCGTCTCGGTTGTTGGTCCGCCCCACCAGCTCCGAGACGCCAAGTGCTGCCGAGCTTGTCAGTGCAATCGAGGAACTCGTGAAAAGCAAGATGGTAAGGCTTTCTGAAGCGAGTCCGAGGTCTGGGGGCTGCGCCGAGGGGCTGCTTACAGGTGGACGTACCCATGTCCATGTGCTGCTCCGGGCTGCAGAATGTGCCTATGGCATGTTGCACAGTGTGAGTCCCCAAGACCATCCTCACTTCTGACCAGGCTGGGGGTCCCAAGACCACCCTCAGATTTAATAATTGACTTGACAGACTAACAGACTCAGGAAAGGCCTTAAAGCCACAGTTGCAGTTTACTACCAGGAAAGGACACAGATTCAGATCCACCAGGGAAGAGATGCACTGGGCAGGGTGCACGAGGGCTCTGAATTCAAGCTTGCAGTTGTCCCAGTGGGTCATGAGGCAGGCACTGACTTAATGATGCATGACAGTTTGTACAGAATATTGCCAACTAGGGACAGTCACCTGAACTTTGGTGTCAGAGTTTTTATTTGAGCTCAGTCACATACACGTGTATGACCATTTCTTGGTTCACCTTTGTCCACTGCCGCTCCAGAGGTCAAGATACTGTGTGACTAAAAGTCAAATTGTTAGCATAGACTATGTGTCTTGGCCCAAGGGCCCCTAAACAGACTTTATTATCTGGCAGGACATTCCAAGGGCTTAGAGGTGCCTCACAGGAGCCAAGGTTAATCATTCGTGCCCCCACATTGACTACATTATCATAGCAACTGTGGGCAATTCGGTCTTGTCCAAAGGTATGCACAGGGCCTCTGGATAGGTGGGCAGCTTCCTTTTGCTGCTTCTGGTATCTCTGATTAAGACTGACAATGTATAAGAGAGAAGAGTGTGCACTGTTAAGTAAGGGCTTGATTTTTTTGTGACCTCTTTATTGCCTTAGTGACCTCTTTGTTGGTCAACACGGATTCATTCAATAAAAGCCCCAAATCAAATGTTGTCTAACTTTGAGGTTTAGACAGTTGTGCATTGCTTCTAACTGATTTAGATCCACTAATGTCTATGTTTCTTCCAATTTCCTAACTGTGAAATAGAAAAACCATTAATGATAACAACTTTTTTAGACTAGTATGTCTTTCTGTGCTATTTAAAATTTAACATCTTTTACAAGTCACCCCTCCCAAAGTAAAAGCCCTCAGCCTCTCCCACCAACCTCTTCTCCAGAGGCAACCACTGTGAACAGCTTGGTATGCTTCCTTCCAGACATTTTCTTTGCAGGTGCAAACATACATAGGGGGTGTGTGCATGCCAGCTTTTTCTTCCAAGATGGATTCATTCAATTTTTAAGATTCTAAGACTTTATGTCTTCAGGATCATCTCATGTCAATATATACAGATGTATCTCATTCCTCTTAATAGCTTGTAATACTCCATTGCATGGGTATAGTGATGGTAATACCGCCAAGGGCTTTCTCTGAGTAAGACACTAAGTGCAGAGCATGTATCCGTTTATGTACTCCCCAGGACAGCCCAGTGAGGTGAGCATGCACTACTGTCATCCCAGTTTATAGATGAGGAAACTGACACACACAGTGTCTAAAACTTGACCCACCTAATAAGGGGCAGAGAAATGGTTATTACTTCCTTAAGTGAATTCATAATAATAATATATAAAGTTGTTTGCAGTTTTACACTATTATAAATATCCATGCTCATTACATGTGTTATTATACCTGCAGGGGTTAATTTCCAGCACTGGAATTTTTCCAGATCAAAGAGTATACATCTTTAAAGTTAGGAATTTATCTTCCTTCAGGCAGGCATTAACTAGGTAATGTATATCTCATACCCATTTCTTCTCCCATCCCTGAAGCTTCTCGTGAAACTGGTTAAATTGGTTAAATGGGAATTACATTAAAAATTCTGACTGTATGGCCCTACCAAAGCTGGGATTTCTCCTGGGCAGTCAGTGTGTTCTGAAAAGGATATGATGGGCATCCCAGTTAGATGGGAACTTAGGAAGATTGCTACGACTTGGCAGATAACCTAAGAACTTGACTCCAGTGGTCAGGAATTTGAGCTCATGTCAGTCTGAACTGAGCTGAAGTACATCCTGGCTGTCTCTCTCTGAGACAAGCTGATTAATAGTCTAAACCAAGAGTGCTTAAATTGTATTGAGTTTTCAGGCATCCTTATAAACACCTTAAAAACATTGATTTATTCACATCAATTATATGACCATTAATCATTCTTGTCTAATAATTATAATAGCTTTCCCAAGAAATTCAGTGAAGCAGCACTTTGTCAACCTGCTAGTCATTATTCTGCAAGTTTTTAAGTTGCATTCTATTTTAAGTGGTCTGAGATTCATTTATATTTAATTCAGATGGACTTCAAGTAGAGAGGGATTCTGGGCACAGTCTCCTTCAGCTCTTACTGCTTTATCTCTCCCCTTCTCAGTTCTAAGGAATTAAACTTTCTCAGCCGAAACTAAGTTCTTTCTACGCATGTCTTAAGTTAACAGGCATAAAGCTATTAGCATTGTAGAAAGGCCATAGGTTTTGGAGTCAGACAGACTTGAGTTCAAACTCTGCTCTTTACTGCCTCAGGCAGCCCAAGCCCCTGTCTTTCGTCTCTGAAATGGGGATCAGAAATGAAGTGCCATCTGTTAGGCTTCCAACAAGGGTCCAGCCTCTTGAGCATTCACTAATGCCTTCCCTTCACCATTGGAGAACCACATTTGTTATTTACGATGGGCTCATCCCATCTTCATTCTTCATGGGATGTAATCTAGATTCTGCCCTTTTTCTGGTTCAAGGGAAGCATAACTCTGCATTAATTTCCTGTCACTAACCCTCTGATGTCAAACAGGAACTGCTTTTTGTCAATGAAAACTCTAGTGAATCATTTTAATACCCTTCAGCCTGCCATGCTCCCCATGACCCTAAGTCACTCCTACACATCTTACCATGTGCTACGTAGATACTTAGTCATCCTTGTTCATTTTCATCTGGGTGATCTCTCAGGCTATAGAGCCTTTGTAAAGGATTTGAACACTGAATTGCTTATCTGTCAGAAGCTGTGTGTTAACTTACTGGATAGGGAAAAAGAAAGGAGTAGTTAGTTGTTCAACTCTTAGGCAGGATGATGTCTAGGGAACTGAACCTAATCCTAAAACCTGAGGATTCAAATGGAAGAATAAAAACAATTCTGAAAACTATTCCTGGGAATTTGCTTCTCCAGGGTCCTCCCTCCGCATTCCTGCCCCAGCTGCTATTTGACAGGTGTGTGTCTTCCCTGAGCATTGACAATAGGGCAGTAGCAGCCAAGAGCCACAGTGCCTGTTGGGACTTGACTGTGGGTTTTCTCCTCCTCATCGATCTGTAAGTATAAAGGGAGATACAAGAAAGAATGAAAATAAATGAAATAAACATCTAACTCAGAATACTAGGAGAACAACAAAATAAGCCAAAGAAAAGCTTAAGGAATGAATTCATAGAGGTAATAGCAGAAGTGAGTGAGTTGGAAAAGAGAAAAACAGTAGAATAATAAATGAAGCCAAGAATTGGTTCTTTCAAAAAATAATAAATATCAAAATAATAATAATAATGATAAATATCAGGTAATCAGCTCAAGAAAACAGAAAGCACAAATTCACAAAATAAGAACTTACAAGGGAGGGATACACTGGGGAAATTTAAACAATCATAACAGCACTGTGTTCAACTCTTTAAAAGTAAATTTAAAAACTTAGATGAAATGGGAAGTTTGAGAAAATATAATTTACCAAAACTAACGTCAGAAGAGAGAGTGTCTGTGCAGACCTATCTTCATGTAAGAAACAGAGAAAGTTGATAAGAACCTGTCCACATAAAACCACCAAACCCAGAGGGCTTCACAGATAATCCTTCCAAATCCAGAAGGTCCCAGCAGTTCCGGTTCCGAGGCAGCATTGTGCTAGTGACAGCCTTTTCTCCTGCACACCCTCTGTATGAGGCCAGCGGGCAGCATGGAGGGCGGTGGGCAGCACCAGTGGAATGAGAACGTGTAACCGTGGCTGCATCCTACTGGGGCGTCTGCATCCTTCTGGCCACCCGCCCAGGTCCGGACCAGCCACATCCAAGGTCAGGCAGCTGGAGAAAGCCTGGCGCCTCTGCTGTTCGGGCCCCGCCCGCCGCTCTGCCAGCTAAGGAGACAGCCTCAGGGCACCCGGTGTTGTCCAGACTTTTCCTCCTTGCTTGTTCCTCTGTGTCGGGACATCTGGAGCCTTTCTTTTCTTTCTTTTTCTCACCATTCAAGTGGCTGGGCTTAAATCTAGCAACCACCAGCTGTGTCTGTGCCAAAGTGGGCAGGAGCCAGTGCAGGGCATCTCCTCAGTCTTCAGACTGCTAGCTCCGGGCAGAGACCACCGCCACCCACAAAACGCTTGCTCCCATAAAGGTCAACAGCAATTCATTTAAAAATAATGGTGTTAGTTGCCTCCTTAGCGCAGTAGGCAGCACGTCAGTCTCATAAAAATAATGGTGTTATTTTCTCATCAAGCCCTGTTCCTTCACTGTTTTTCCTAAGTAAGAGCCGCAGTTGGTGTACTCACACAGCTCTCCATGGATCTGGTGAGCAGGATCGCATGGACTTTGTGTCCTCAAAGCTGTGCATGGTGATGAAGTCGGCCTCAGTCTGTTACTCTGAAGGGGAGGAGCTGGGACAAATATTAGAGGGTTTCATTTGATAGGAATACTAAGTGTTCTTGCAGTTTGTTTTGAGCTTTTTGTTGAAGAGTAAGTAATCAGTTGCCCAGTTCAGCTGATCATCTCTGTCCAGCTGGTTGCTTTGGAAATTTTAAAAGAGCTATAGCGTATACCCACACGAGCTTTGTGAATTCAGGTTAAGAAACAAAATTGACATGTTCCTTCTAGAAAGTAACCGGTGACTAATCATTGTTAACATTAATCCAGGGAGGGAAGTCGATATTTAACTCAGTTTTATTGAACACCTGCAAAGCTTTCTACATGGGGTATAATGATGAACACAATCACCCGTGGAAACTAAAACCCAGCAGGGGAGAGTCTAGGATAACTAATTGAGGCCAGCATGACAGCTGTTTTCCTACAGAAGCAATAAAAAGGAAATGTGAGCATCACAGAAACCAATTTTAGCTGGGTGATCCATGTTCATAAAAGTATGAGTCAAGTCTTCATGGATAATCAAGAAACCAAGTTTGTGTAAAATAAAATATAGGTTGCTGACATTGTTACATAGCCCACCAATGAGGAATATGGGTAGTGTGTCCAGGGTCAGCTGGCCTGATGGAGGCCAAGGCGACCACACACTTCTGAAATGCTCACGCTTTTCTTTGGAGAAAATGGCTGGATTTGAAATATTGTAATATATCCAGAAAAGGGTGCAGTGCTGTGATGTAAACAAGTCATATTTTTTCTAATTATTTGGCAGCAAGGTTAGAATACATTAATGTATATAAATTTGCCATCCTTTTCATTCTAACTTTGCTCTTTTATCCAATTCCTCCTACTCAATTTTTTTAATAATGGGGCTTTTGCTGTTAAGTACTGTGTAATTTCACAAACATAGATTTTGTAGTGCCACAATCAAGCCTTCTGTATTTTCTGATATAGGAGATTTTCTAGTCCTAATTTCAGCCTCACGGACTGTGGGCCAGAAACATGCCTGATGACCTGCCTTTCTTCCAGGCGCTGGAGGACCGCCCCAGCTCACTCCTTGTTGACCAGGGGGACAGCAGCAGCCCGTCCTTCAACCCTTCAGACAACTCCCTCCTCTCCTCCTCCTCGCCCATCGATGAGATGGAAGAAAGGAAGTCCAGCTCTCTAAAGAGACGGCAGTAAGACAGAAACGTTCTCATTGTCATTGTTTGGTGCCTTTCCTCTTGTCTCTGTCACCTTCAGAAATGGGAGCCGCCACTGAATCAGCATAGCGATGAGATCCAGGGTCTCCCCTCGAGTAATTGTACATGTTTGAAAAGCGCTCAGAGCCTCATAAGGGCACGTCATAAGCTGTAGCTGCAGTTTTTATTGTTTTGTAGGGCTTTTTTTTTTAAATTTATTGAAGACTTTTATTTTATAAAAACTATTTCCTAGATGGGAATTACCCCTTATTAAACAATAATAAAATATGTAATAACATAATCATACATTTAAAACGTGGAAGACAACCAAAATTTCATGTACAAGAGGACATACTTGAGACAAATTGAAATTTTCAACATAACTAAAAGGAGCTGGACTTCACTTATAATCACTGAATTGGAAAAGGAATTAGTGTTTAAGAATGCTTTCACTGATGAAAAAATAAATCCAAGAAAACCAGTAGATAAAAACATTGATTTACAAAGCAAAACTATATCTTAGTTTCAATTTTTACATATCCTAAATGAGGTTCATAATAATCAAAATATTAAACATCACAATATGTAAAAAAGAAATTCAACTGCTCAGATACTAGATAACAAATTCATATCCTTTAAATCTATTCCCAGAATCATGAATTGACTTTTTAAAAAAATAATACATCAGCTGCTACCTAAGGTTATCAATAGTAACAAGCAGTATCACTGGACACAGTATGTCTTTATTTCTCCTATTACTTTTATCACTGTAGTACAATATAAAACTTCCAGTATTTTATGGCCCTATATTCAAGCTAATGAGTACATTAGAAATATACAGTTCTAGATATAAATGTGGTTTAAGGTCCAGTAAACAGTAACCAAATGTCTAATAACAAATCTTTCTCATAAACAGAAAAAGAGAACCAAAGGTTTTTTTCTTTTGTGAGCTTGCTTCTTGCTACTCTGTTCTGTCCCATTTTTTTCCAGTAAGAAACACTGCAAAGAGATATAGGATAGCAAATGGCCTCCACCCATTATGGGTTTGTTTCTGTTTAAGCCAAAAACTTTTGAAAATAGTTCTTCAGTTCTGGCAGAATAGAATAAATTCTCAAAAATTCACATTTTCTTCAAAAAAATTTTGTGATTTTGTTTGTAATACTGTATAAATCAGATGATACAAGACAAAAATTTCTTATCACTTCTAGTGAGAAACTCCTATACCTTTTATTGTTTACACAGTTGTGAAGCAAAATGACGGTAACAGTAAATTAGATACTGTCCTGAAAACTTGAGCATTCTTTGAACATACCATACATAGTAGGAGTGTTTCTCAGGTCCAGTAAAGCAGGTTATGGTGAAAAAAAAGAGTCCTGAAAAATATCACAAAACATTTAAACTTTCCTTTGGACAAGAGGGAAAACATGAGCACTGCACACAGGCCAAGACTAGGTCTCTCCGAGCACTGCCTCCCGGCGTCTGCCATGATGTGGGCGCGTCGGCAGGACCCGGTTCAGTGCTGGCTGAATGAGTGAACGAACGGACCGACCTTTCCAAGCCAGCTGAGGTGGTTTGCTGTGCTGATGGAATCATTGTCTTCTATCCTCTGAGTGGCCTTAAACACTTAGGGACCCTTATGAAAAGATACACCTCCGGATTACTAGTCAGACCCTAAGCTTTAAACATCTGAGTTAAAATTTTTATCTTAACTTCTTTTATGTCCAGTGAAACTTAAAATGACATCATTTTTTTTTTTAAAAAAAAAGAACTTCCTTCAACATGATGCCTTTATAATAATGCCTAAGCTTCTCTCGGTTGTCCCTATATGAGGTCAGTCAGGCTCTGAACGGGGAGTGCCTCGTCACCTCCTCAGCTCTCGGAGTTCACCCACGTGGACCTGTCCATGATTTGGGGCGCTCAAGAACGGGAGACCCAGTTGTGCAAGTTTGGTAAATTACAGCCCACTCTCAGTGGGAGTCTGGCCTAGCCAAAGCAAAGCATGAGAGAACTCATGTAGAAAATGGAGAGTTTGGGTTGTAAACACTGTTTTTTCTCTCTTTCCAGCTATGTTTTGCAAGAATTAGTAGAGACAGAGCGTGACTATGTGCGGGACCTCGGCTGTGTGGTTGAGGTATATGTTTCAGAGATTTAATAATTTTATCAGACCGAAGTTTGTCAAAGGGGTATTGTGGTAATTTAACACTGATACCTTCTCAAGAGCTTTAAAAACATCTTTGATTTTTAAAAAATGGTGTTTTTGAAAAATGAAATTTAGCTAATTAACCATCTGTCTTTTCAGTGCTTCTTTTTTGCATAATCTTTTTTTACAATTAAGTTTTTAAGTTATTATATCCAACCAGTGTATTTAGTACATGGGAATCTTGCCTTTAATATTGTGTTACAAAAGTGGGTATCACCACAGAAGTGAGAACATTATTGGCTGAAAAGTCAAGGTGGCCAGCTGTGGCTTTGGTTCCATCCTGAGCCCACCTGGGCTCGGAGCACCTTGCATAGAACAAATGCATCACCAGTTTCATTGCCTGAAAGTCACTACACAGTGTAGTTGTAGCAAAACCACTACCTTTCATGCTAGGTGGAGGCCCATCTCCAGGCTTATCCTTGGCATTAAGTTCAGTACATAATCGTACTCATAAACTCAGTTCATCAAAAAGCTCTTCTTATAGCATACAATTTTATTACTCTTTCAGTTTTGCAAATATGTATAGGACAATATTTTTGGGTTGCACGTTCTGTTAAAAGAAAGCTATGATAATTGTGTGACATAAAAGGTTTAACATTGTCTGTTTGGCTGCAGTCATAATAACAGTAAAATAGGTACCTTGAATTACTAAAGAGGTTCCTATACAGGCTGAGGTCAGTTTGAGTTAAGTAGAAGTTTACTTTTTTTTTTAATTCAAGTATCATTGATATACAATCTTACAAAGGTTTCACATGAACAACATTGTGGTTTCAACATTCTCTCATATTATCAAATCCTCCCTCCCCCCATTGCAGTCACTGTACATCAGCGTAGTAAGATGCTAGAGTCATTACTTGTCTTCTTCTCCAGGCTATACTGCCTTCCCAGTGACCTACCTATATTGTAATTGCGAATTAATAGTGCCCCTTAATCCCCTTCTCCCTCCCCATCCACCCTCCCCAACCCCTTTCCCTTTGGTAACCGCTAGTCCCTTCTCAGAGTCTGTGAGTTTGCTGTTATTTTGTTCCTTCAGTTTTGCTTTGGAGTTAAACCGAAGTTTAACTAGCTGGTGTTAAAAAATCAAAGAATATTGTTAAATCCTTATTTCACAAATTAGCTAAATAATCCAAAAAGAAAAGAAAATGTGTTTGTATTATATAAATGCTGAGAACAGAAGAAATATGTTTCTGGACAAATATTTAATATTTATAAGCTGATTAGATGGTTTGTTTTACGAATACATTTACATCTATTTAAACTTCTTCAATTCCTTAGAAGAATTTCGATCCATGAATGCAAACAGTTCAGGGAGAGAAAAGTAGCCATGAGGTTGCAGTATATTTCAAGTGCTGGTTAAGGACACTTTTCATGTAGGAGTTTTGTTTGTTTTCAAATAAAGAATTGGTTACAAGACAGTGTGCATAGTACTATTTTGTCCTTTATAAAATTAATCCATAAACCATTACCTCATTCAATAAAACATTCAAACATGTTCAGTGGAATAAACTTATTTTTAAATATTCCATTATAGGGCTACATGGCACTTATGAAAGAAGATGGTGTTCCTGATGACATGAAGGGAAAAGACAAGATTGTGTTTGGCAACATCCATCAGATATATGACTGGCACAGAGAGTACGTAAGACGCGTGCCGAGCCTGATGCATGCACAGCATCAGCCTTGCTAAACAGCATCATGTCAGGCAGTGGGAGTTAGAAGGATAGTTGCTGACTCGTCTCCTTTTATTTCCTATGGAGCCACATGAAGGTAGCTGAGCAAAGGACATGCTGATATGCTGAGGAGTTTTACGGCAGCATTTCATGGCATGGGGAAGTCTTTCCTTCAGCTGGTCCCTCCGAGGGCCCACCCTGCGGTGGCTCGGAGCACCGGCACCAAAGCCAACTGCCTGCATGCAGAGCCTGTCCTGACTTCGAGCCACTTGCTTCCTCCCTAGTGCCCTGCTCTGCGTCTACACAGCGGGGGTCATAGCGGTACCCACCTGGTGGATTTCTTGTAAGGAGCGACTGAGTTTATACAGTAAAACAGTTAAAACAGTGTCTGGTGGTGTAAGCTTTGGTAAATGGTTTTGGTTGGAATTGTAGCCACCTGTTGAATTAATGCCCATGACTCTTAAAGGGTTTTGAAGATACTCTTTTTTTTTTCTGACAGTTTTAATGGAATGGTGGACATGATTGCTCATGAAAGTCATATTCAATCCCAGTGCATTGCCATACCTGTCGTACACGGGAGGTCCCTGTGGGGGCTGGTGCTTCACAGCTGCCAGAGCTTCTCACTGCCCAACTGTCCATTCAGGACACCCTGCTCCTTGTTTTTAAAATCCTTAATCATCTGGGAATTGCTTAATGCCAGCCACTGATACTTTCATGGAATGTTCCAGCTGCACTGTTCTGTTCCCCATTACCTGGACAGGCCTCCTGCTTTCCTGTCATTATGTGCATGATCGCCTCTCTGCTTGGACTCTGTTCTTATCACCCTTGGAGCTCAGGTCTAATGCTCACTTCTCTGTTAGACCTGATACTGCCAGTGAGATGTACTCTCCCCCTTAGAGACAGTGTGTATAAATAAATGTACTCTGCAAATTAGAAAATACCATACAAACAAGGGGTTAGGGCATGTATCAAATAATGTCTTACTATTTCTATACTTATCTGTCCTGGTAGAATGTAAAAACCTTGCACCCTGATACAGGGTCTTTATTTCCATATCTTCTTTAATAATCAGTTCGTGGTCAGCTTTAGAACCAGCACTCTAACTCATAGCTCTGTAGACTGTAGGCTTACCACAAGTCTCCAGTGCAACCAATCTACAAAGGGGATATTTGGTGCTATTACATAGTCTGCCACACTCGAGGCTGGTGTTTAAGCTGCAGCAGGGAGCAGAGAACAGTGCATTGCTCCCAGGATGACCAGACAGGAAGTGGCACCCAGAGATTGTGTCTGCCACGGCACTTGCAGAGCTGCAGGTTGGTAAGACTCCCGGTGCTAGGAGATGCAACATGTCATGAGTTGGTATGATGATTTGCAGGTTAATAAAACACCAAACATTAATGCCAACGTAAGTCAGTGGTAACTAAAGTAGACATACGTCTTATAGATAGCTGCAGCCCACAGGAAATGAAGAGCAGTTGTACACAGCTGTTTTGTTTCTCTGATTATACTTAATTTCAGTCTTAATGGGAGCTCATATTCAGAACCTAGAAGCTGGTATTGATAATATTTGAGAAGACTTTGTAAAACTGGCACAGGGAACATACTCAGTATCTTATATCCATTATCATCCAATTTGAGCTTCTTGACAAATAGAATGAATATGAAATTCACAAGTACAAGGACCAAGTTTTTAGAGAGAAAAATGATCAGTTGCTTTGAGACTTATTTTTTACTCAGTATTTAGCCAAAGTAGTATTGTTTGTGCCCTTAAAAAAAAGAGACACCAAAAATGTTAATTGTCCAAAGGAAAGGCTACCAGTCAAGGGATGGTCTCATTCCACCATCTCTTTTTAGCTGTGTGTCTCTTTGCACTTTCTGTCCTAACAAAATATTTTCTGTGTACATTATACCTGTTAAGTACATATTTTACACTTCCCAATTGCTCGTGTCAAAACAGCATTTTGAAAATACAAACCTCAGTCTCAAAGTAGAAGGCCAAATTGGAAACAGCTCTAATATTTCTTCTCTTGTTTCAGCTTTTTTTTAGCAGAGTTGGAAAAGTGCCTTGAAGATCCAGAAAAACTAGGATCCCTTTTTGTTAAACATGTAAGTACAACGGCCTTATTTATATTCTGCTCTGATACTGTCATGATTAGTAATTGGTTTGTCAGACTAAAGAAGAACTCAATTGTAGTTTATGAAAGTGCTCCTGTTAAGAATAAAATTAAACTCTGCAATGTCCACGAATTGGAAGTAAAATCCCCTCCTGCACTTGAATGACCTGCTTCCTGGGTCCCATACCCGTAGCTGGCTGTTCAGCTCACAGCCATGCAGTGTGGTTGGACAGGGACAAGAGCGGACCTGAAGCAGGGACATTTTGGGGTATCTGTGGACAAATAAGTGTTTAGTGGAGATGGTGATATACCTAAATGTACAGTGGGTTTAACATAGTAGCCGGGTGCATGCTTATATCTAAAATAAGTGTGTTAACATTAAAGGTTTTTGTTGGGTTTTTTTAATAGAAAAAATTAATGTGTTTTCAAAAAATTAGCACTAGGAGATTTTGCATTTTTGCAAATCTCTGTTAATGTCTGGTTAATAGAAGATAGATATTCTTATCAGCTCTGCATTCATTTTATTGTAGTATTTTTTTGTTTGTTACAGTATATGAAAAAAAACCATCCTCACAAGGATGCATAGTTGGAAAGGGATAAGTATTTTAATGCTCTTTTCAGGAAATTATAGTTTTCTTAGATAGGACACCAGAACCTGACAAGTGGTCATTTCTGAAAGGTTGGTTGCAACATGGAATCTGAAAAGCCATTGGTGAGCCTCTCCCTTGCTGTTACACTAAAAGCCATTGACCTGTCTTGCACTTTAAGGCTTTTTCACCTGCTTGTGACATCACGCATTGGTCAGTTGGAAGATACTGGTTCACCAGTTTAGACAGATTTTCTAAATACTGAAAAGTTTCATTATACAATATCAAAAAACCATATTTGTTAATAATGATTAACTTTTCAGAAAAGTCTTTTTTAAGTATTGTGTCAAGTTTACAGTGGCATATAAATGTCTTCCAAAATTGTAATTTTTAGCTTGAAAGGTCAAACTTGCATTATTAATAGACACGGCCAGTTTGCCTTGAATCAACAAGCTTATTTTTTAAATTCAAGTTCAAGAAAAATGTCTACGAGACACCCATGTGTAAATATGTAGAGTTTGTGTCCACCATTCTCTCAGGTAAAAATGGCGGTTCACAAAAACAGCAGTGGTTCTGCTCACAGCTCAGTCTCACCAGGACTGTTCCTTGAGGTGGCTGTTATGAACAGCAGAAGCGTTATGAGGACCTCTACTTTGTCATAAGGGTGTTAAAAAGAGATATACACTATGGTTGAGTTTTAATAAAGTGCACTTTCAGTATTTTATCAAGAACATTCTGAGGTGAAACTGGCATTTTGTTGCTGTAAATATGTGGTGACTAGTATTTGCTAAAATGCCAGCATTTCACCCAACATTGTTTTTGTCCATCAGTGCAAATCGTAGTGCAGTGGAAAGGCAAATTTTGTTTTAGTACTATCTCGAAAACAGTTTTTACCTAACGGATCCCCTGAAAGGCTTCTGGAACCCCCAGGGGTGTGCACACCACACTTTGAGGATCACCAGATTAAGGGATGGCACACTGTCTCCCCTTTTTCTCTGCCTTCAGCTTTTGAGATTGAATAGTTTTTTCTTCCCGACTAAAAACAGTGAGAACCATGTGAAAAGGCAGCAGGAAGTCTTCATTTAAGGTTAAGAACTGTGTCCCTGCACTGCCTCTGGTATTTGCCGGGCGAAGTGAGGGGTCTGGTATATCTGAGGGAGCGATAACCGGTGACTGTTTTTGTAGCCAGGAAGCTGAATGCCGATCTACATTACGAGTCTGGAATGTGCTCCCAAGGGCTAAGCATACAGTTTTGTTTTCAGGGTATTTCCTTTATGTGCTGTGTGCTCGCATATTCTAACTCAGCTTCCCAGTGTTTTAACCCTCTGTTTGCCTTTTTCATTCCTAGGAGAGAAGGTTGCACATGTACATAGTTTATTGTCAGAATAAACCAAAGTCTGAGCACATTGTCTCAGAATACATTGATACCTTTTTTGAGGTAAGCCCTACCATAGAAACTAAGTATTTCTTAATCTTTTCTTACAGTTGATTTCAAAAAACTAAAACTTCATTTGGTGCCCAGAAGACTAAGCAACCCTCAAGAAATTAGCCTTAGTTGTAAGAGTTCTAAACCTGTATTTCTTGCCTATAAATCAGAGAAATGAGTATGAATTCAATCTGTGATCATCTCTCTTAGCATTCAGGAGACTGGGTCATTGTTAAATTAAGGACTTTTTAAAAATCAGTTCTAAAGTTGATTTCAAATTCAGAACAATTCATGATTTAAACTTGTCACCTAAAAACAGTACGCTTGTTTTCATGGACAAAAGAAAGCAATTGAAGGAAGGTCTTTAAACAAGCATAAAAGATGGTGTTGAAAAACTTCTCAGAAAGATTACAGAGTAAAACTTGGACATACTGAGAAACTGCATCGCACTGGCCTCTTCTCTGCAGTGTGACCTCTCTCCTCATTGCTTTTACTGTGGGGTTGTTTGCATTTCTGACAATGATAAGAGTCTAAAAAAATGTCTTTTGAAAAACAACACTTAATATCTTGTTTTCTCCTTTAAAATGACAGGACTTAAAGCAGCGCCTTGGCCACAGGTTACAGCTCACAGATTTGTTAATCAAACCAGTGCAGAGAATTATGAAATATCAGCTGTTACTGAAGGTAAGGTTTGCAGCGGGCAAATTCTAGTGTCCAGAGTTTGTTTGGAAAGAGGATGAGACTCGGCCAGGGGCAGGACGGGTTTGGCAGAAGAGGAGCATCTTTCTTATAAAAAAATTAAGCAGTTTTGTTATTTCTGATTTTAAATATTTCAGAGTAGTTTTTTTAATTTAGGAAGATAACATACACTACTTTCTCAATTTTTCACTTACATCAAGTTCTGAATCAAAATGCCAAAGCACCCTTTTTTCCCAACCTCAGATCCTTAAATACTAATGATTTTTACTCAGCTCTATCGACCTTACATATTTTCTGATCCTCTTGGAGTCTTGCATGGAATTAAAATCTCCATCCCTGCCCACTCTGCTCTCCTGGCCCAGCAGTCACCCTAGATTTATTTCAATTCCTACGTACAACTACAGGCAGAGTCACACACTTCTCTATGATAAGAGTGATTGTTTAAGTCTACTGCTGTTGCTTCACATATAAAACTTAGAACCTGCATATAGAGACAAGAGGAAAAAGGGAACCATTACCTGCTTGGATAGATGTGGTTGTCTTTGTGCTACTGCAGCTCGAAATCCACACCAGGACACCTTTTCATTGTGTTAGTGGGAGGAGAAAGTGAGAAAGTAGAGCAAGGCTCCTAGCCCAGTGCCTGGCCTATCGTGAGTGGTCATCCTGGTACTGTGATCCTCACCATTGTCATGGCCTCCTCTCATTTCCCCTGCAGGACTTCCTCAAGTACTCCAAGAAAGCTAGCTTGGACACATCGGAATTAGAGGTACATATATCCCGCTAGGCCCACCGGGCCTCCCCACAGGCTCCCCTCAACTCTGTAAAAAATTTTTTTTAGTTTTTTTTTTCCTTTTACATCCCCCACCTCCCTAACCCCCATGTGTCTTCTAAGCAGCCTGTCCCAGGGAGGGGTGGCTGCGGGGGGTGATGGGACGTCTCTCCACCACATGGGTGTGCCCTCTGCATGCTGCGGGGTGGGAGGGAGAGGCGCTGGACCTGGAGGTGTACTGGAGGGTCAGCATGCCAGCTTGTCCCTGCAGGAAGGTGACCTTCACTCTGCTTTCTCCCCCACCTGCAGAGAGCCGTGGAGGTCATGTGCATAGTTCCAAAGCGGTGCAACGACATGATGAACGTCGGACGGCTGCAAGGATTTGACGTAATGCAACTGTTCTTTAAACTTACTCCTCTGGCTTCCATCACTTTCCTCTGTCTTGGATTATTTATTTCCACATGTAGAAAGCTGATCCTCGTTGCTCGGTTTTGTGTCCTCTCTCCCTGTACTTCAACCTGTTTGATACTCCCTCTCAACTCCTTTTCGGTGCTTTTTGAGGCCCTTCCCCTGCTCAAAGCCCTGCGGCGGGTGATGGACAGGCAGGACTGCTCCCTCTTGGGCCCTCTGCTGCTGCGACAGCAGGAAGGGTGGGAAGCAGGGGCGTATCCCACATCCCCAGGAGCCTGACTTCAGGGTTACTTGCTCACTGTTAGTCTAGCAGACTTGTCTCTGGGTTGCCAGGCTATTCATATTATATATTACCTGTTTGTATCCCAAAGATTTTCAGAACCAGAATCATCTTGTCTTTTAATTTAATTATTAAGTAAGGAAATGGGAGATGTTTTTCTTTTTCTTGCCTGCTGTTTCGCTAGAGAAGTACGGTTTAAAGTTCTAGTGCTGGGCTCTCAAAGAGCCCACACAGACTCCCTGGGAGGGCTTCTGAAAACTCCGGTCTCTGTGCACTTCTGAGGGGTCCTGCGGGGTCCAGGTGTCACTGGGCAGGAAACCACCCGGCAAGAACTGCTCTTCCTGTGTGAGCTAGTCGTTAGGTCTACCATCAGTCTTTGATTGTGACCAAGGCCAGTGATTTATACAAAGGTTGACAAGAACCTTATTTAGGTAATTATTCTGTTTAGAGCCAAGAACTCATTACAGTAATATAAATTCTTCAGCTCTATACATTAATAGAAGAAAAATAGGTTCTGTGGGAATAAGAAAGAAACAGAATTTCATATACCTTGAAATGCAATGTTTTCTCCCCTTCCCTTGCCCTCATTTATAGGGTAAAATTGTTGCCCAGGGCAAGCTGCTCTTGCAGGACACATTCTTAGTCACAGACCAGGACACAGGACTTCTGCCTCGCTGCAAAGAGAGACGAATTTTCCTCTTTGAGCAGATCGTCATTTTCAGCGAACCACTTGATAAAAAAAAGGGCTACTCCATGCCAGGATTCCTGTTTAAGAACAGTATCAAGGTAATGTGTGTTTGCCTGCTTCCATGTGCTACTTGCTTCCTGGACCCATCACGCTGATGAACTGTTTTCATTTCAGTGATGACAAGTCCTGATCCTTTGCTTATTAAATATTTAGAGAATTTCCTAATACATTTCTGAACCTTTAAATGACTCTGTCACTCTACTGTCTGTATTCTCGAGTGGCCAACGTCTAAAACACATCTCCACGTGACCACAGCCATTCCTCTTCACCATGAGACCTCGTTCATTCTTGTGTACCACCTTTTCTAGGCCTGTGTACAGCATACTTAAGTTCAGAGGCACAGATGGGGAGCTCTGCTTTAAGACCAGACTAGAAGCTTACCCAGTATCTTACCCTTTCCTTCCATTCAGTGAGGACACACTGTACACTCTGTGCTAGGCATGGAGCTGCAGGATTGGACAAGACAGTTAAACCGTGCCCTGGGGTAGTGTACTCTCTGATGGAAAAGAAAGAGAAATAAATTAACAGACGAAATAATTGCAAATGGCCTTGAGTCTCATAGAGGGGACAAACCAAGGGGGAGATAGAGACAAGCAGAGGAGGCTGAAGGTCCCGGCAGAGAGTCCCTGGGAGATGCAACCTGCCCACTCTTCCCATCCCCCCAGTTCCTTCCACCCCTGCAGCTGTGTGGGCCCCAAGGTCAGAAGGGAGATGTGCTGCCCTGTATTGGGACCCCCTACCTGGAGCTGCCAGGGCTCCATGAGGGATAGGGAACCTTTTAGGCCCTCGGAGCCCTTAGGCCTCAGCGCACAGGCAGGCCACTGCACCTTCTTGCCTCTGCCCCCAGTAGCCTCTGTGTCCTCCCGCTTTGGGCTAGGGGAGGCTCTTCTGTCCACTGGTACCTGGAGAGGTATCAGGACGGCTGCCTGAAGCTGGGCCCAAGGCCTCTCCAGTCCCACACTGCCCACCAGCCTCTCCCACCCTGGCCATTGGAGGCCCCACGTGGTTGTCACTGTACACCCATTGTCACCTGGACCTCTTGTTCTTTTCACAAGTACCTTGACAGAAAATCACCCCATCACCATAGAAGTTCTCTTCATATATTATTTTACATATCCTGCTTCTATAAAATTATTTTATATGCCATATCACATATAACTTAATAGTATGTTATATTATAATAATATTCAAGATTTTTTAAATGGTGTCATTTAATTCCTGGGGCAGTGAAGTAAGGTATAAACACTGGGTGGTTTACATAGGAGTTTGAAAACAGGTAATCCCAGGGCCACATTTCGTTAATATTCAAGCTACTACTTAAACTCCTGGTAATCCCACGTGCCTCAGTTAAAAGACTCATTGAAAAGCTCCAAGATAAAATTTCTGAGTCAGAAAAAGTTGTTTCAGTTTTGACAAAGGATGAACTTTACTTAGCACTTGGCCAGTGGGAATAAATATGCTTTGATTTTTTTTATTGTATTAACTAAAATGCACATAACATAAAATTTACCATCTTAACCATTTTTAAGTGTACAGCTCAGTAGCATCAAGTGCATACACGCTGCTGTGCAACCAGCAACCACCGTCCATCCCCAGGACTCTCTCCATCTTGCAGAATGGAAACTCTGTCCCCATTAAACCCTAATTCCCCACCCTCTCCAGCCCCTGCACCCACCATTCTGCTTTCTGTCTCCATGAGTTTGATTACTCCAGGTACCTCATCTGAGTGAAATCATAACAGCATTTGTCTTTTTGTGCCTGGCTTACTTCACTTAGCATAATGTCCTCAAGGTTCATCCACATTGTGGCATGTGAGTCTGTCTGTTTTCAGGCTGGATAATCAGCCATTCGATGACTAGGCCCTATTTTGTTTATCCATCAGTCGATAGACACTTGGGTTGCATCCACCTTTGGGCTCTTGTGAATAATGCTTTAACTTTTTAAGGTGAGTTGCCTTTGCCTGGAGGAAAATGTGGAAAATGATCCCTGTAAATTTGCTCTGACGTCAAGGACGGGTGATGTGGCAGAGACCTTCATTTTGCATGCATCCAGTCCAAGTGTCCGGCAAACATGGATCCATGAAATCAACCAAATTTTAGAAAACCAGCGCAATTTTTTAAATGGTAATGTGTGTTCTGCTACTTCGCACGTGTTTTCTTTCCCTAATGTACACATTACTATTTCTGTTTCTCTTCTCTTTCCTATTACAGTAACGACAGGATGTATTTAGCACAGACTGTGTTCTAGGTAGTTCCAAGCACTGTCCCTATATTGCTTCATCTCATCTTCCATATATTACACAACACAATGAGGAAGCTGAGGCTCAGAGTGGATTAGTAATTTGCTCGACATCCCACAAATTGTGGCAGAGTCAGAATCCAAGTAGGCCATCTGGCCCTTGGGTGTGTGCCCTCACCACTGCATGTTCCGCCCCGTGCCTCATGGTCCCTGTGCCGTAAGCGATCCCAAGCCCTGTCCTAGGAAAGGAATGCATGAGAAAAACCAAGGCAGCGGGTGGAAGTGGCCAGAGATGTTGGAGACATTCTCCAGTTCAACTTTAAAACCTGTGCTCCATTGCATTGCACATCCATACCTGCCTCCTCCATTAAAAAACAAGATGTGTTTTTCTTCCCAGCTGCCTTGATTTGAGTGATTTTAGAGGAGCTCCACACACCTCCGGGTAAATGTCTTCTCCACAAGGGGAGTGACCATACTGGCTTAATGGAGCAGACAATTGCCTTGACTCTTTATATCCGTGACCTAGAGCTGCTGGGCTCTCTGTGACTGCTGACTTGGACTCTGGTGTTAATTTGGTGGTCATCAAAGAGCTTTGAGAATTCAGTCAGAAGCTAAATACTCCTTTCTGTCCTTTCTTTGTCCTTTTGTCCATCTCCACATTCTGTGTCTGTGCCCTAATCTAGTAGGATGTTGTGATTTCTCTGTTACTGTAAAAGCACCTTCAGGCCTCACATGATGTTCAGGAGCCAGGAATACAGGCACTCTGTGGAAGCTCATGGTTACATGGTATCTTTGGCCATGTGATCATCAGCTGCCTGGGTGTTAACTCATGCTTCTGTCTGGATTGTAGATTGATCTTTTTACTCGCAACTAGAACTGGATGCATGGCGCTCAAGGACAGTTCCTGTGCATGTAGAAAAACCTCTCCCTCCTAGGAGAGTGCACAAATGCAGTTCTCTTTAAATGTGGTGTTCCTAAGTGGTGCATTATATGCCCATCCACAGCATGTAACTATTGGGACATCTCTAAGCTTTCACCATTTTCTTTAAAATGAAATGAGCTGCCTGCCTCTCAAAATGCCAGCATGAGTAGGCCACGCTGTTGAAGTTTACTGGACACTGTCCGTGTAGAGAGTGATAATGCCTACTCCAAATGAGTGAAGGCCATCAGGAATGGAGCTGAGCTCCAGCCACGGCTGCCCGTTCCTCTCTCCCCTCATTCCTGTAAGAGGCCACGGCCAACACGGGTTTCATAAAATGTCATTTGGCTCCAGGATGCTTTTCTCACATGCCTGATGCCTCCCAGGCAGGAAGGGGCTACACCTGATTGTTGTGTCTCTCAAAGGTTTTAACACTTAGGAATCTGTGTGTTTCCATATATCTAATTTGGAATGTCTCCTGCAGATGCTTTCATAACAAAACAAATCACTGAAGTCAGACAGCTTCGTGACCCACAAAGTTCTCTTGGGGCTCTCTAACCTTCCCTTGTCTCTCATGTCCAATCTGCCGAACAGGTGGTCCCTGACACTGCCTCTGTGTATGGCCACCAGGAGCTTGTTTCTGGTTTAAAGAAGACCTTTGTAGTGGCTAGACTAAGCCTTCTCACCACCAGGGAGCCAGCTGGTCCCTGTGAAGTCCCCGTCAAATCTGCAGGCAGGGCACCGGCACTGGCGATGCCCTGCCCTTGGGCTCCTTTTCACCTGGCAGGGACCCGAAGGCCCTGCTCCCAGAGCCTCCCTGCGCATTCACATGTGCTCAGGGGTGCTGCAGCCCAGCCACTCACTCATGACTCCTCCCTTGATCAAGTCAGTTTCACTGAAACAGGAGCTTAGCATTGAGGACTTTTTGCTGTCTTCACTGGTGGAGGGCCTCCAGGATGGGTGGGTGTTTATGGGGCATGGTGATAAGCAGTTGCATGGACCACCCGTGATTTCACTGGGGATTCAGACCAGCATTTCCTTCTGATCGTGTCTTTTGCCTTTGCCCTATGGCAGTACTTTCCTTGGTGCCCCGCCTTGACGCTCTTCCACGCTGTGTCATGTTTTGCAGCCTTGACATCACCCATCGAGTACCAGAGGAACCACAGCGGGGGCGGTGGGGGCGGGGGCGGCGGGGCCCCCAGCGGAGGCGGTAGCAACCACAGCGGGGGCGCCAGCAGCTGCAGCGGCCTCCCCAGTGCGAGCAGGAGCAGACCCTCCCGGATCCCCCAGCCCGTCCGACACCACTCCCCCGTGCTGGTCTCCTCTGCAGCCGCGAGCCAGGCAGAGGCAGACAAGATGTCAGGTACGTCCGCGCCCGGCCCCCCACTGCCTCCTCCCAGCAGCAGCGCCGCCCCCGACGCGGGCCCGGGCCAGCCCGGCAGGCACGCCCCTGGCAGAGAGGCCGAGGGCCCCGAGCGAGAAGCGGAGCAGATCCCCAAGATGAAGGTGATGGAGAGCCCCAGGAAGGCCGCCAACGCCGCGGGCGCAGGCCAGGATGCGGCGGCCCGGGACGCGCGAGCCAACCCCGACGACAGCCGCTCCCGGAGCAGCCTGGGCCCCTTGCCGCTGGGCAAGCCCAGGCCCGGGGCCGGCTCACCGCTGGGCTCGCCTCTCGCCACCGCGGGCCCCCCTCCGTTCAGCAAGGAGCCCTTTGCCCCCAGCAGCCCCCTGCAGAAGGGCGGCTCCTTCTGGAGCTCCATCCCCGCCTCCCCCGCCAGCCGGCCGGGCTCCTTCACCTTCCCGGGGGACAGTGACTCCCTCCAGCGGCAGGCGCACCGCCACGCGGCCCCCGGCAAGGACACGGACCGCATGAGCACGTGCTCCTCAGCCAGCGAGCAGTCTGTGCAATCCACCCAGAGCAACGGGGTAAGAACGCCCGGCGGCCTGCGCCCACGCGCCCCGCTGCCTCTGTCGCGCCAGCTCTTCTAAACCTGCGCGGCCGCCGTGCTCCTACTAACCCGGCTCTGCGGCGCTGCGCGGCGACGCCGCCGCCCCTCCGGCGCTGACAGGTGCACGCCGCCAACAGCGCCCCTAACCCCTCCAGCTCGGGGGCCGGCGCTGCCTCGTCTCTACTAACTCGCTCCTTGCTTTGTTTGTGTCTGCCTAATACGAGAAAGCAGATCAGATCATTAACCTTCTGAATACGGCACCTCTAAGTCTTCTTTACGTTTTCTGACCAGCAGAATATCTTGGAACTTCCTTCTCACCCCTGCCTTCCTCACACACAGTTTTTTAGAGGGGTCAGTGTCCCTGCTGTCTACCTCCTGTTCAAATTGAAACCTGTACACTCTAAGCTTTTGCTCATCGCTTCAATGTGCTCTTTTATACCTTAAATTATCTTTGCAGCGTTTTTGACTCATCTGCTGAGAAAAAAAAAAAAAATCCCTCAAGGAAACTTCCAACAGCAACTCAAAGCAAACTAAGCTGACAAAATGGGGGGAAGGAATCTGTCCAGTGGAAATATTTGCTCCCCCCAAATTCACTCTGGAAGAGAGAGACTGCCTTCGGGCACGTGGAGATGGGGCTCCTGCCCCGCCCGGCGGAGGCGGAGGCAGGGCAGGCTGGCTTGCAGGCGTCCTGCGTTCTGTCCAGCAGGGGGCGCAGTGCGGGCGCTGCGGCCGCGCTCAGCCGAATGCTGCCCGTCGCCGCGCTGTTCTCAAACAGAAGGGTTGCTGCGGTGGGTTTTCCCCCCATTTTGTGGGTTCCTCACTATTCTCCCCAACTGTTTACTACACGGCAGATGGCCTGACCCGTAACTCTTTCCTAAGGGCGTGTGTGAGGGAACAGAACTGTTCTAATGAGTGTATGTTTGATTGCTTTATAAATTTTTAAATACATTTCCCTAAAAGGGTCTGTGTGTCTCTTTATAAAAAAAAAGAAAAAGAAAATCTGGCTTTTGCATGTCTGTCTCTCTCTTTCTTCGGGGCTCCTAATAATGCCTTGTTCGGGTTGACTTGGTCTTAACCTTCCCTCCTATTTTTGTCGTATGTTTTGTTAAATTCGATCTTTACATTTAACTGAGGAAGAAATTAAGATGGGTCTTGGTACACATAAAGATGCTTAAGTCTTACTCTCAAAAATAAGTGGTTGGGGCAGGCATCTCCTGCAGTGGCTGTCACAGGGTCCCATCTGTGTTATGGGTATCTTAATATGTCCTGAAGAGGGGGCTTGGCTCCTGGTTGAGTTTGAAATGCTAGGTAGGCAGGCAAGCGTCAAAACACAATTTCAGCCAGGGGAGAAGATTCAGAGGCCCTGAGACACCATGCCTGCCTGCACCCAGCTGATTACAGCGGGTGCCGCTGTGGCCTTGCAGTTGAGACCCCCAGGGGTTTGGCCAGGGAGCAGCAGCTCTTGAGCTCATCCCAACCTGGACGTTTTCCCCTTAAGTACCCAAGGAGTTCTTAGAGTCTGTATCTCAGAATGAACCTCGGCTGCTCAGTGCAGGAGCCCAGCTGGTCCTGGGCACCTGTGCATGTACAGGAACAACAGCCCTGCCGGGCCCTCCCAGGACATCCACTCGGAGGCAAAGGCACGGTCACAGATAGCACAACTTCAGCAAGTGTCAGGCTGCGAAAGTTGCCTCTTATTTCGGCCTCTCACTTTTCCTTATGTGGTACCAGGCAGGGAAACCTGTGGTGTTTAAGATGAGTCAAAATGTCCTACAGAAATGCCCTGGAGGACTGGGAAGACTGCTAGAGGCCTAAAATGGGGATTTGAAGACGTTCTCTAGGACTCTTATTCTCAGTTAAAAGGAACTGTTGCCCTGCCGTGCTCCATCCATTTGGACCATCTTATCCCCCTGGCGGGTCAGCAGTGGCTGCCACCTCCTTGACCACTTCCATGGACCTGTCTGCAGTCACAGCCAAGCAGGCGGGCCTAACCCTGGTGCGGATTATTCTTCTCTTAATGGGTACCTTCTGGAAAGTTCTGCCGAGAGCAGGAGTGGCATGGATATGGAGCAACCCAGACAGTGATTGTGCCAGCCCCGGGGTGTGGGCACATAGTATCCCGGCACCCACGGCCCAGGCAGCAGTAACAGTGCAGCCCTGCCTTTCTCCTGGATGCAGGGGCTTGTAGACTCCTTGCCTTCACCCTGGAAAGGGTGACGATCGAGCCCGTTGGCAAGGCAGTTGTGAGCATTAAATGAGACCAATTTTAATTGCCTAATAGCCTGGTACATAGGAGGCGTTCAGAAAATACTGATAACTGTTATTACCATAGCAAAGTGCTCAAATTATGAGACAAGGCCTGGTATGCTGTGTTACCAAAAGTGGCTGTGCCACAGAGATTGTTTTTTGTGTACATATTCTAGCAAATCTGGCTTTGTAATCTCAAAACTATTGGGTGTTGCTGAATGAATCAGAATATACTAAAGTTCATGCTAAAAGGATAAAATTGTATCAACAAATATGAGTGGGCAAGCCAGACACGGACAGTGTGGGCATCCACAAGGGGTGGGAACATGCCACAAACTGCTCAGCCAAGACTGTGAAGAGAGCTTGGCACTCAGTGGGTTTAATTTAAATATTTGCTGTGGGTCTAGATTCATAGCCCTGGGCCCCAGCATTCCCAGCACGCTGCTTGTTGTCAGTGGTCAGCCATCTGCTCCACTGTGTCCTGATACCAGCTCAGTAGCCCAGGGCTGACAGGCATATGGCAGGGTCGTCTAACAGTTGCATCTACACCAACCCAAGATCTGCCCTAGACACCTAAGAGCCCAGCAGAGACTAGTGTCATCGGAGTCCTGGGGATCCATGAACATCGAGACAATGCTGGTGGAAGCCTCAAGAACCATCTAACAGGAGCAGGCTACCTGACGCCGTTTCCCACATCCCAACTGTTGAGAAAGGGGATTGGGCAAGATGTAGCTCAGGACGTGGCAGCTGTCTCAGCGTCCTCCTCCCCCACCACCCCGGGAACAAAAGGGGGCCACTTGGTAAATGAACAGTTTGGGACAAATACTGTCGTCTGTGTTTCTTCTACTCAGCAGCTGACACTGCTCAGTTTATAGGCCTGGGTAGGTGGCCTTGAGAAATTATCTTTGCTATGCTTTTGCAGTCTTGCCTAATTGAGTTACAGAACACGGATTGAGTACCTGCTGCCTGTCAGTCACTGTGACGGACATTAAAGACATAGTAGTGACCAACAGAGTCGGGTACTGCTGGAACTCCAGAATAAGGGGAGGTGGGCTTTCTCACACCAGGGTCAGTTCCTGAAGCTTGGCTCATGGGGCTGGTGGCATCCACAGCTGATCCGCAACGCTACACAGTGTTCCCACAGCAACAGTGCCTTTGGGACCCTTGAATCATGCAAACTCCTAAGAGGGCCACCCACTGAGGGACGCTTAAAGGAGGCAGAGTAACTACTCATAAGAGCAGAATAGTAGTTGATCTACTCTTCAGGTATCCACACTGTTTTCAAAGAGAAAAAGGTGGAAATGATGGTGCATACCAACAACTTGGCATGATCCTGGAATACGCATTCCTGATGAACATTTTACCAGGCTTCTGCATAAGCTAATCCATCAGTGAGCTGAAGAGCTGCTCTTTGTGGCTTTTTAATTTAATAATATTTTTTTAAATGAGCATGATAGTCACAGTGACATCACTGTGACATAGATATAACCCAAAATGTTACCAACGTGAGAGGACTGAGCCTTCCTTTCGAGGTCCAGAAAGATGGGACTAAAATAATGATCAAGCTTCCAAAATAATGGGTCATCATTACAGTGATTAGTTTTTAGACTGTTCCTAAATTGCTTTCTAGAGAAATCCTAATTTTCAGCCATTGGAAGAGGGGGACAGGGTTAGCCAAAGAATGTGGAGTAGCGCAGCGTGCCTACACCTCTGCAATGAGCCCCTCTCTGGGTTGCAGTGCCGCAGCACACAGTGGCAAGCAATCCCGTGGCATCAGATCGCATCTCAGTGGCCATTGCCCTGTCTCTCTGTCTCCCTGTCCAGAGTGAAAGTAGCAGCAGTAGTAACGTCTCCACCATGTTGGTGACACACGATTACACGGCGGTGAAGGAGGATGAGATAAACGTCTGCCAAGGAGAGGTCGTTCAGGTTCTGGCCAGCAATCAACAGAACATGTTCCTGGTGTTCCGCGCCGCCACCGACCAGGGCCCCGCTGCCGAGGGCTGGATCCCGGGCTTCGTCCTGGGGCACACCAGCACGGCCATCATGGAGAACCCCGATGGGACTCTCAAGTGAGTGCCCGGCGGGACGGCCAGGGGAGGCCACGAGCGCAAGGGAGGCCTAGAGGCCTGGGAGGGGGCAGCCCTTGAGAGAGAGTGCTGTCGTCTGTTAGTATGAGTTCGTCTCTAAGCACCATGTGGTGCCCCAAAGTGAGCATGGGGTGACCTTTGTCTCTCAGACTTAGGCTAACAGGTTCTTTTCACAACCTGCATTTGCAAACACACGGCTCTTTTAAGCCACTAGATAGAGCACAATAATATTTTTGTTCCCAGGGGTCTTGGGTGGGGTGGAGGAGCAAGGACCTTGCAAGGATCCCTAACTCATTAATCCATCATGCAGAGGGTAAGTCCGTGAAGATGCTCTGTCAGCTGTGGGTAAGGATCTGTGTGGTGCTCATACCATCATGCCTTATATGTGCTGAAAGGTTAATTCACTTACAAAACTTGAAACCAATTTTGCTGCATTAAACATTATTTTAAAGAAGACTGAATTCAGGTGCTGCTTTCAAACTCAGCCTGAATCTCCATGGCTGTGCTAGAGACCAGCCAGATGCCTTCTAGGAATGGAGGCACTGTAGGACTTTGTGATTTTTTTCAAGGCCACCAAAGGCACTAAGAGCAATACCCATTCCTCTGCAAGTAGGGCAGGACCCCTGGCTGGGTTTGCAGCGCAGGCCACCAGCATCCCAGCACCCCTGGGCTCAGCACTCACACCCTGTGGGGAGGCTGAGCTTGCGTTGAGACTGCAGAGTCTGTCTTCCATGACAATCCCTTGTCCTGTTTCTCCTTGATGTACAGAAATATTTTTCTAGTACATTGTTCAAGAATCCCATTTTATACTTTGTCTTATCAAAAAATATTCTTAATATTTTAGGGTTCTCCAGAGTAATAGAACCAATAGGGTATGTGTCTGTAGGGGGTGGTTGTTATAAGGAATTTGCTCATACAGTTGTGGAAACTGGCAAGTCCCAATCTGCAGTGTGGGCTGGCAGGCTGGGACCCAGAAGAGCCAGTGGTGCAGGTGAAGTCCAAAGACATTCTTCTAGAGAATTCCCTCTCGCCAGGGCCAGACTTTTGGTTCTACTCATGCCTTCAACTGATTGGATAAGGCCCACCCTATTACCAGTTAAAATGTTAATCTCATCCAGAAACATCCACAATAATGTTTGACCAAATGGCCCAGTCAAGTGGATACATAAAGTTAACCATCACAAGCACCTTTCTGTTCAAATCCTTAAAATTTGAATTAAGAAATTGTTGGTTTTATCTCTGGTCATTGAGACTCACAGGAAAGTTTTCCTTAGTAAAGGAATCACAGCCATCCTGTATCCATGTAAGTTGGACAGTCAGCTGTTCTCTGACGCCTTCAGGAATCATTTGCTGAACACTAGAGAGGCATGATGCTGACTGTGTTCTCTTCTCCCTAGGAAGTCAACATCTTGGCACACAGCACTCCGTTTAAGGAAAAAATCTGAGAAAAAAGATAAAGATGGCAAACGGGAAGGCAAGTTAGAGAACGGTTATCGGAAGTCACGGGAAGGGCTCAGCAACAAGGTATCTGTGAAGGTGAGTGCCGGTGAGGGGCCTGTGTTGCTCCTCGGGGCAGCAGGGGGCACTGGTGCCGGCCTGGAGAGGTCACAGACCTGGTACCTGGCCTGGCATGGTAACAGTCTGCTTCCCACCATGCTGTTGCCCTCTGCCCTGCAAGCAGACCCTGCAGGGCTTTGTAGAGCCCTCACAGCAGGGACCCTGGCCACTGACACGGGTATTCAGAGGAACCAGATACGCACGCACACCTCACCAGGTGCATGTGTGACTCGCACAGCACGCCCTCAGGTGCCCAGATACAGCAGAGATTAGACTCTTAAAAGCGGACAGTGCAGAGCAGCTGTGGAGCAGACCCCAGTGACTGCTTCAGACCCCAGAAGTGACTGGATACAGAGACACAGGTCTATGGGCCCCAGGGAATTCTAGCAAATTCACCTGGTGGCTGCTTCAGTCAGCTTTACTCTAAACTGTGATCAGATTGCTTTGACCTGTGAGGGATTGCCTGGAGAGAAAGAAAATATCTCCTAAGAGGAAACCCAAGGGCCCTGGGTCAGGTATTATAGGAACCAGCTGGACTTGGCACATGGGATCAGCAAAATGGACAACTCTGAGTTTAAGCCACAGTCAATGTTTATGGGCAGGCCAACAAAAACTCACCTAAACTCACATGACATGAAGCTTTAGAGAGCATTTAAAGGCAGTGCAGCCCAAGTCGTCTTCCTGGCCATCTCTCGACAGTAATTGTAGCCCTGGAAGAAATTCATTCATGCTTTTGGTTAATAGCTGTGTGCTTTCTCCATTTCAGCTCCTCAATCCCAACTACATATATGACGGTGAGTTCTGTTTTCCTTCTCTTCTCATCTTGCAGGGTTAGGTCTATGGGATGTGTTTTGGAGCACTCACACGTAACCTATGGAAATGAGTTTTCTGTGACGCTCTGAGCTTTGCAGCCCTCGGGTCTCTCCCATTTGTCAGGGATGCATGGGAGGGTGGCCACGGGTAACCAGCCTCACTTGACTCCTTTCTCATGCAGTTCCCCCAGAATTCGTCATTCCCTTGAGCGAGGTCACGTGTGAGATGGGGGAGACCGTTGTTCTGAGATGTCGAGTTTGTGGCCGCCCCAAGGCCTCCGTCACCTGGAAGGGCCCCGAACACAACACCTTGAACAACGATGGTCACTACAGTGTCTCCTACAGGTGAGGGAGGCCCCCTCACGGTCCATTTCACTGGCAACAAGCGTGATCTCATGCCACTGTAACTAGCAAGGTCAATTCCTGCTCACCTTTGGCACTCAGACTCTTCACAGGAGGGAACGTTTCATACCTGGGTGTGCAGTAAAAATTAAAATTCACTTGAAACTCCTTACTAGTATATGAGCTTCTAATTTCCCGTGGCCACAGAGAGAGGTTCAGGGCTGGCAGCTGGGGCAGCTGAGCCTTTCTGATGCGCGGTGTGTCCTCATCTGTGTGGCAGTGACTTGGGAGAGGCCGCTCTGAAGATTGTCGGTGTGACCACAGAAGACGACGGCATCTACACGTGCATCGCGGTAAACGAGATGGGATCGGCCTTGTCCTCAGCCAGTCTGAGGGTTCTAGGTAAGCCGCACCCCTGGCTGGTGGCACACTTCTTCCAGGAATCTCAAAGCCAGAATGCCTCTGACTCTTGACAGGGCCTGAAGTATGACAGTAAGTCACTCAAATGAGAGCTAAGTAGCAGACTGTGGCTTCTGAGGCATCCCCAGACGCGTGACCTACAGAAGGCCTCTGACCACAGCCACTGGCCCTTGAGCTCTGGAGCCAGCCTCTGGGCTGGAACAACATGATTCTGTGCTCTTGGTACTCAAGACACATTCTTGTATCTGGTTGACCTTTTATCTGATTATTCATTTGATTCTTTGGCTCAAGAGAATCTACTCAAAGTTGGTCCCAGGTGAGATAGGAGTGAAAGAAAAGGAAAGAGGGAGCATGTAAGGCCATGCAGACTCTGTGTCTGGCTCAGCCCCCAGCAATACCTTTCCAGTGGGCCTGTCCTCCCACCCTCTTCATGCACTCTGGGCAACCAGCCACTCGGGTCTGAAGCCCTGTGCTCTCTCCCCTATCCGCAAGGCCTGCTCTCTCCTCAGCTAGACCGTAGGCTGTGGAGGCAGGGCCCCTGTCTCAGGCCTTTATAAATTTCCTGTCATTGCACTTTCACACATAGATGTTCAGTTAGCAATACAAACCAACTGTTTTGCAACTCCTGATTTCAGAAGGCCAGTTACTGCAATACAGAGCCGCTGAGACTTCTTGTGGGTCCCCCAGCTGCCCAGGTATAGGAAGCTGCTTCCAAGGGCGAAAATAAACACTTGAACTGAATGGTGGATTGAGTGAAGGAGCCCCCGTGCATAGACAGTGAACAGAATTGTCTTAGAACATTCATCCCATATATGTTAATCCTGCATATTTAATCTCATTAAAGGAAGTACCCTGATTTTTGGATCAGGTACAAGAAAGAAAATCTTGAATTAGAGAATGAAAAATCACTGATGCTTCATATTTAAAAGATGTCACAGAAATTACACTGGTGATTTTTTTTTAATTACTCATGAGCAAAAGCTAAGAGGTTCAGAAGGTAGAAGACTAATCCATACAGTGGGAACATAATGTGTGTGTTTATTTCTGTCCCGTATGCCCATCTTTTTTCCATCCTAAATCCCACCCTGCAGTGTGTGTTTTGCACTTAGAGCGCAGCTTCACCCCCATGAGCCACACCTCAGATGCTTAGGGGCCACATGGCTGCCACGTTAGACTGCACAGGCCCATGCCCTCCTTGTCCAGAGCTCCCCACATGCACCGGGCTCAGGGGCTCAGGGGAGATGCTCTTTTTGCAGGTCCAGGGAGTGATGGGATCATGGTGAGCTGGAAAGACAACTTTGACTCCCTCTACAGTGAAGTGGCCGAGCTTGGCAGGTACAGTCCAAAACCCAGAGCCCCTTCCGAGAGAGCAGTGCCAGATACCGCTGCCTGCAGGGCAGCCTGATCAACTTGACTGGCATATGTATATGTTGCTGGCAGCTGGGAAGTTTTATGTATTATATCTGAAATGTAATCTGTGATTGCCTTTCGATATTCAACATTGAGGAAGTAAAGAAGACATTTTTAGCTCATGGTCTAAGAAAAAGTTAAGGCCTAATGCCATAAGCCACACTGATATGATGAGTTAACCCCAGCTGCATGCCACCTTGGGCAAACTCAGAGAAGAGTCACTCGAACCCTGTCCTTTAATCCTCTGGTGGAATCCTAGTTGGGGAAGGCTGAAGAGTCCTTCAGGGCTAGGCGGAGCAGGGGCTGCCTCTGCACCTTCCACTCCAGAAGGGGCAGCCCCAGGCAGGGGGTGGGGCTCAGCAGCTCCCTTAGGCACACGGGCTCCACCATCCTCCTCCTCAGTGCGTGTCCACAGCGTGCGTCATCTCCCGTGTGGCAAGAAGGGGGTCAGAAGCGAGATGGCTGGGCCTGTCCCTTCCACAAAACTTTCCAAGAATTCCCGCCCCGGCCCCGCGGCTTCATATTCCAGTGGCCATAATGGGCCCCATGGCTCATTACCTGTTCACACACCTGTGTCGTCAGCCTGACCTGTCAGTCAGTCCCCTGAGCAGCAGCATTGGTCACTGCGGGACCAGTTGGCTGGCTGCTGGCCTCCCTGGGCTGTCAGCCTGCCTGCCCCCACCTCACCCACGGCTGCGGCCTTGCCTGGGGCCCTGGGCCGCTCTCCACGCAGACCTTCTCCCTGGGCTTCCTCCCATGATGGCAGAAGCATTCCAAGAAAACAAGAGCAGGACTGAAGGCCCTTAAGGCCCAGCTGCAGAAATCAGCCACACTTCCTCTGCACCCTGTGGTTCAGAACAACCACTGGCAGTCCTGTTGTGCGGACTCTGCAGCCCAGAGTCAAGGGAAGAGAGTGGATTCTACCCGCTCATGGGAGAGGTGAAGTGACCTGGCCACCCTTAACGGCCACAGACATGTCCCCCCAGGGCCCCACTCTGCACTGTGGCAGCCGGCTCGGACTTAAGGTCCAAGACCCCATTCCCAGGTCAAGTGGAGGTGCCGTGAGGCTTCACTGTGTATCCGACTGGGTACAGCTCCAGAGACCAGGAGCTGGGAAAAGGCACCAGCACCCCCCACAGCCTCCAGCAGCAAGACACAGGCCTAGTGACAGCAGCCACACTCCTGCTGGGGGACCAGGGAGGGGGCAGTGCATGGCCACGAGGCACCATGTTGTCCATCCCAAGCCTCCATCCATGAGAGCAAAGGTAGAAGTTGCCTAGTAAGTCTCATGACAATCACTTCTGCCCCATTCAGAGGTCAGAGGACGTCAGTGAGGCCCGCCCAGACACAGTGAGAAAATAATCTGCCTCCAGAGGAAGAGAGACAGGGCTTGGGCTCAGGCAGGCTTCCTTGCGGCCACCAGGGGTACAGCTCTGCCAGGGTGGTCACCAGCCAGGGGAGAGGCTGCGTGCTTCCAGTCCGCTTAGGCTAACAGGACTAACGCAGAGTCCTCTGAAAACCACCTTCTCAACCTGCATTCCAGGGGCAGATTCTCTGTCGTTAAGAAATGTGATCAGAAAGGCACCAGACGAGCAGTGGCTGTGAAGTTTGTGAACAAGAAGCTGATGAAGCGCGACCAGGTCACCCATGAGCTCGGCATCCTGCAGAACCTCCAGCACCCACTCCTCATCGGCCTCCTGGATACCTTCGAGACCCCCACCAGTTACATCCTGGTTTTGGAAATGTGCGTACATGTGACTTCCCTCCCCCTTTGTGATCCCCAGCCTCAGCTTCATGTGTTTTTGTTGTCATTTGTTCCCTGAGAAGGAGAGAAACCGGGAGTTGAGGGTTCATAGAACTTCCACAAATCGCGTGTCCTGTAGGAGCCCAGCTGGGTGCTCCCCCATGCCACCCGAGCCCCCTGGGTCTCGGCCGGTCAACAGAGGCCACCTGGTCGCCAAGGCCCCGGAGGCTGGGCTCTGAGGACTCAGGCCCCTGGGAATGGTCCCGCGTGTCTGCTGCCTCAGGCCTTGCACTCAGCAAGGGTCAGGGTCAGGCCTGTCTGCACCTCTTGCCCACAGGAGAGTGATCAGAATGAGGGTGATGCATCCTGTCCCGGAGAATACCCTCTGCAGGGGCGCTGCAGGTTGGGCAGCCCCCTGGTCCCTGCAGTGCTTCCTGGGCCAGGGTGCCAGTTGGAAGCAGTTCAGTCATTTAAAGAGAAAGCAGTCAGCTTGTGCCCCGAGGGCAGTGCTTGTTTCGGGTGGGGGAGCTTTGCCCACCGCCCCCAGGGCACATTTGGCAATGTCTGAAGGCTTTTCTGGCAGTCACAACTCAGGTGGGGTGCTGCTGGCATCCAGAGGGCAGAGGCCAGGCTGCCCACACCCTGCAGGGCACAGGACCTCAAAGAGGCAGCAGTGCCAGGGATGGAAGCCCACCCTCTCTGCTTCTCTCTTTGAAACACCTCAGTGTTCAGTTTTGTTTAACTTCTTTTCCTCCCATGTGGGGGGAGTCATTGCATACACTTACTTGGATTTATAACTTCTCTTCCACTGGCAAAAGCAAAACATTTTGCACCATTTTGTGGTTCATCTATTCTTAAGTGGGAAGAGCAGGACAGGCCAGAGCCCGCGCGGAGCCCATAGGGGTGCGTTTGTGGAGCAGCACTCAAGCGTCAGGACCCCTCACTTCCTGGGGCTCTCTCGAGGCCCTGCACCTGATTTTCTGTATGTTATATTCTTTTTCTTAAAGGATTTGTCAGTACCCCACAGCTTCCCAGGGCAAGGCCTCGTCAGGGCCCCAGTGGCCCGGCCCTGGGGAAAGGGGTGTTTCTGTGGGGAGGGTCTGTCCCCCCACAGGGCTTTGTGGTGCCATCTCCCTAGGGAATGCTGAGGGTCCCCCCGCCCCCCCGAGCTGTCTTCCGGGCAGATGAACCTACCCGAGGACAGAAGGGAGTCGGTCAGCAGCCCCACCCAGCCATGCTGATCACCACAGGCAGAGAGCCCAGTCTGGTTTCAGCCCCTGCATCACCTCACTGGCCATGGGGCCTGGGGCTCCTTTCCCGACCTTGGCATCCTTTAAAGCCTCAGCTTCTGTGGAGGGTTTTTGTGGGGCTACAATGTTGCCCACGCACAGACCAGCCTCCCGCTGGCCCTCAGTGCCTGGAGGGTCTTTTCTGGCTCTAGAAGCTTGATGACTGACAGCTACTGCTCATCTTCCCTGGGGATTTTTAACAAGAACTGTCCTCGAGTCCCCTCAGAAATCTCCTACAAGACCTCCATGTCAGTGTGTTCAGCTGTCATTTCTTTTCAGTGGAAAACTAAATGTTTTGGCCTCATACTGTTAATAGGATTTATTTTCATAATTACTACCAAATTCTCCTTGATTACTCCTCACTACCAGATGTGGCTGATCTTCCTCTAGTTTTGTGTTTTGCAAACAAAGAAGGCAGCATAAACCACTGTTCTGAGGGACCAAACCAGACCACCCCACTGCCTCTGGCCTCACTTATAAGCTGTGTGACCTTGGGAATGTTACATACCTTCTCTGTTCCTTCAGTTACCACATCTGTAAAATGGAAACAATAAAATACTCTTCTCAGAGACCTGTCATGAGAATTAGGTGAATTGATAGAGAGCATTTTTTCCTGGCACACAGGCAGCTTTGTGTAAGTGGATTTTAAATATTAAAAGTAATTTCACAGTAGGGAGTCTTTGGGTCCAACATGAAGCACTGACTCTGTTGGCTTGTATGCTGGGGAGCTTGTAGCTGGTGCATTAAATAAAGATGTTCAGGTTTGACCTGAGTGGGGAACTAGGGCCTGCACGGGGCAACAGGTTACAGCCTCCACATCCCAGCTCCCATTATGGCAACGTGAAAAGACCCTGGGGTCATTTTAACTGAAGGCATGTTTTCAGGGAATCACCAGGTTTATTCCCTACAGACCCCAGAGATGGGGTTGGCGGTAGTGGACCAGGGGAGGGCAGCCCTCTGTCCCAGCTTCCCAGAAGCAGCAGACAGCAGGGGAGCAGTGCAGCGTGCTTACAAGGTATTTGGGGCAGAAGTTGCTACCTTTTCACAGGCTTGGCTCTGAGTGGTTATTTTTAAAGGTGCCCCAGGAAAAGTAAAGAAGGAACTTGTGGCAGAAATCCTCTGCTCGCGTCCTTATATAAGTGTCCAGGCTGGTGTGAGCAGGTTGTCACTGGAGTACCTAGGCAGCAGCTCAGAACACCTGTTCTCTCTGCACACCTTGTCTTCCTCTTTATTTACATTATCCTGTTCAGCCTTCACATCACCCATTTTGCAGATGACAAAACCGAGGCTCAGGAAGGTGGGATTTGCTCATTCCCTCTTTCGGCAGGTACCTGTGGAGCACTGAGTGGGTGCCAGGCACTGCCAGGTAGCTCACCCAAGCCATTTCCTCACATCCAGAGGCAGGGTTGGAGTCCAAGCCTGCTGCCTCCTGGGCCCTCTCAGGGTTGAGCTGCCGTGTTCCCACTCATCTCCGCAACGAGCTTAGAAGGAAATCACCCTATTGGAACAATCATGACTTCAGGTGGAGGTAGAATCCTGAAGTGACAGAACATTAACAGTGGGACACAGATACAACATGTGTCCTGTTGGACTGGAGAGGTCTCTTAAGAAAGCCGGCACCTTGACGAGTATCGCACGCCTTCCTACCCCTGCAGGGCTGACCAGGGGCGTCTCCTGGACTGTGTGGTGCGATGGGGAAACCTCACCGAGGGCAAGATCAGGGCTTATCTGGGGGAGGTTCTGGAAGCTGTCCGATACCTTCACAACTGCAGGATAGCACACCTGGACCTGAAGGTTAGTGGGGCTCCAGGGCGGGGGAGAGGGTGCCCAGCCCCAGTCCGGCCGTGCAGCCCAAGGGGCCATAGCTCAGCTTGTCCTCTGAGTCCAGGCCAGCAGCTCCAGGGGAACTGGGGACAAATATGAGGGGTGGGAACAGGAACACTTTTTTCTGATCTGTTTAAGAGTTTGCTTTCAGTGGTGCATACACTAAAGCACTTGACCAACCTCTGAGGTCTTGGCACATTTAATGAGATCTCAGGGACTTGCTGTGAGTTTTGCTGGGCTGGTGAGAGGCTGAGAGGGGGGCAGGGTGTTACCGGCAGTGCTGGAGTGAAGCTGAACAGCTGCCTTCGTAAGCCAGAGGGACCCCACCCCGATCTCCAGGAGAGGGCTAGTCTGCCACGCTGGGCAGCAGGTCCCCTGTCGGAGCTTCCTCCCCCCGTGAAGTTCGTCCAGGTTGGCACATGAACACTTTTTCCCAATTGGCTACATAGACTCTTAAGCGTGAGCCTAAGATTGAGATTGATGAGCGTGACAGCGTCTTGTCCTATCTTCTAGCCTGAAAATGTTCTGGTGGATCAGAGTTTAGCCAAGCCGACAATTAAATTGGCCGACTTTGGAGATGCTGTCCAACTCAGCACGACCTACTATATCCACCAGTTACTGGGGAACCCCGAATTTGCGGCCCCCGAAATCATCCTTGGGAACCCCATCTCGCTGACCTCAGACACGTGGAGTGTTGGAGTGCTCACATATGTCCTTCTCAGCGGCGTGTCCCCCTTCCTGGACGACAGCGTGGAGGAGACCTGCCTGAACATTTGCCGACTAGACTTTAGTTTCCCAGATGACTACTTCACAGGGGTGAGCCAGAAGGCCAAGGATTTCGTGTGTTCCCTCCTCCAAGAAGACCCTGCCAAGCGGCCCTCGGCAGCGCTGGCCCTGCAGGAGCAGTGGCTGCAGGCGGCCCACGGCAAAGGGGCGGGCACCCTCGACACATCCAGGCTGACCTCCTTCATTGAGCGGCGCAAACACCAGAACGATGTTCGACCTATCCGTAGCATTAAAAACTTCTTACAGAGCAGGCTTTTGCCTAGAGTTTGACCTATCCTGAAGTTCTTTCTCATTCTCTTTCACCTGCCAATCAGCTGTTAATTTGAGTTTTGAAGAGAAACACAAACCAACATAACTGATCGGCTGCCGTATGTTCATCGTGTGGAACTGCATTCCAATGGGCTGTGCTCGGGACTCGGGGAGCGAGCCGTGCCGGGTGGAGGACCTTCTCGTGCGCGCTGCAAGAGCGGAGACAGCATTGCTGTATCACAGTCTTTTATTCAGGTTTCTGCAAAAAATAAAAAGAAACTTTTTTAAACAAACATGAATAGAATTTTGCAAATTTAACATTTTCCAAGATTTATTCAAGGAAACGAAATGCCTGTGTTCAACCACTGGTGTTAATGAACAAAGCAGATACTGGGCATCTCTGGGGTAAGACCCACCCTCGTGGCGGCAGTCCCTACGGCCTCATCTGGAGCTCAGTGTCCACCTGGCTCTGAGCTTTTCCAGCTGCCTGGTCTGTGCGTCTTGGCAGGACGCCAGACTAGGCTTCTGAAATGTGCATTCAACCTCAAACTTTTGCATAAAAACAGAATGAATCGTTTTGCTCTGATGAAATGTAGGCCTTACTTGTATATAAGACTGGTCCTGCCTTCGGTCTGCCCTTTCCCTACCCACTGTCCCTCCCCCTGCCTGCCCACCTCCTGGGGCTTCCTTCAGGGGCTAGAGGGTTCTGCCCACACCCACCCAAGGACGTCAGGTTGGGTCCTTCCCACGGCCCCCCTCTCCCCACTTCCCCCCCAAGCCGTCAATCAGATTGTTGAGCAGTATACAGTCAGATGAAAATACTGTAAATGCACTCATTGGGGTTTTTTGGTTTTATTTCATATCATGTGCAATGTTGTGGCTTTAACATTTTATGCAACTATTTATGAAGACCTCTGTTGTACCTGTAATAAATATATAGAAAAAGCACATACTTCGTACAGTGAGCTTTATGGTTTTGTGTGTGAATCGGGTGGGGCGGGGGGTGGGGGTTCGTAACCCTGTGCCATCAGTTCAAGGAGGCTTAACTCTTCGTGAAATTTGTCGGTTTTGAGGACTGTATAAAGTGATTTCATACTCAATATAAAACTGGATAATAGGGTAATGTTTTAAAATTTATTATGCTATTATTCAGAATGCCAAAGTATTATTTTTTTTCCCCAAAATCAGTCTGGACATTTACTACTTTTTAGACTTTTTGATGTTCAACTTTCTGTACAAAAATTGGCTGGGTTTTGAGCTTTTGGTAAGAAATAAAAGCCAATTAAGTACTAGCTGCCTTGAGGCTGGCATCCGATGTCTGTGTCACTGTGGCAGAATAACGCTGGTGTGGGACAGACTTTGAACAAGACGCTGGGTTTCTGGGCACGCTTGAATTTTTCTGGATGTCTTTTTATCTTTGTTTTGTGAAATACACTAAAAAAGAGACCAGCTTGCTTCCTAAACCAGCCAGATACCTGGGTCTCAAGCCATAAACTGGCATAGCTAAGCTTTGCAGCTTCCAATGTATTTTATTTATTCTTTTGTTGGGTTTTTCTTTGTTTCTTGTAAAATTGTACAGAAACTTTTTGAAAGAAATTGGATTCAAAACTGGATGTGTATTCGTAACCTCATAGCTTTTATTTGTGTATTGTTTCTTTTGTTATTTCAGTTAAATTTTTACATTATTTTGCATGTACATTTCTTTGTACAGAGACTTTACATGTTTACATAGTATGATGTGATGTAAATATTTTATTTTGCCATCAGTTATTTTAAAAAATTAAACATATTTGCCTGATATTTGTGTTATTCCTTTTATTTAAATTGGTCATTTGAATGGAAAAGAGACAGCTTGCTGAGGAAGAGACTAAAAATACTATCCTCTCTTGGGTCAGGGGAGGGAAGTTGAAGGAAGGATATTCTGGGTTGGAACCTGCTGTACACAGCCAGAAATGGGAGTTGGTTGGGCTCTGGGCACACAGTTCGCAGAACCCAGACTCAGCACACTGGTGTGCAAGCCAGATATCAGCTGTCAGCAGTGCGGCTGCGCCACATGCCAGTTAGAAGACCTAAGGTTCTTGATGAACATACAGTTGAAGCAAGGGGAAGAGCTGTTGCATCCTGGCCACAGAAAAGCCAATTCACCTGGTCCAGATGGACTGAAGAAATTGAAGCACTTGGGTTCAAGCACCAGTGACAAAGAAACTGAGGGTTGTGCACCTGCAAAGAGCCCCCCAGTCGTGGCTGTCCCCCAGCACTCCCGCTCCATGCAGGGTGTCAAGGAATTTGTAGAACAGATTTTATATTTCATGTTTGCTGAAATCCTGAAGGTAAGACAGGTGTGAAAGGATAGCGTTTGCACTAAGACCCTAAGTGAAGGCATGTGACACTCACTCTCCCAGAGATGGGCAGCTCCTCTGAGTCCCAGGGACACTGATGGCATGGTGAGCTCCAGAGGGGCAGAGATGCGAAGTTGGTTCTGTGCCACTGTGGCATTGTGGCAGAGTGAGCTGCCTGGCCACCCCAGTGTCACCTCAGCTACAAGAGAACAGCCAGGGGTCTGTGGTGCTTTTATCTGACACTTGCTGAATGAAGCAGTTCCACCTGTGCAGTTAGCAAAGCATTCCCACAGGTAAGAAGTGGCCAATCATTATCACTACCTGGATTTTTTTCTCAAATACCAAGGTGCTTTGTATTCTGCATGTTATCATTTATTTAACTTTTTAAATCCAGGAATTCTCTTTGAAGGGAAGAAAGATCACCAGTATTTCAGAAAAATAAATGATGAGCATCTTAGTCCAAGGATATTAAACCATTTACACCATTGGAAAGGGAAAGATCCTTTCAACTGTACATTTTTGAGACATTAAATAGTTATACAAGAATAATTTGTGGGACTAAAAGAATGCTCCATATATGTGTGTGATTTAACTTACAAAAATAAAGTACACAAATAATAAAATTATAGCTCAACACATTTCTGTACATGTATGTACCTGAGCACCACCCACAGCAGAACACAGCTTCCTCCTCCTCCCACCTGACCCCTTCCTGCCAGTGGCAATCACTGTGCTGATTTCTATCACAAATTATGTGCCTTTGAACTTGATGTCAGTCGAATCATACAGTATGTGCTTTTTAAAATCAAGCTAAGCTTTTTATTGTGATATCATAGATTCACTTGCAGCTGTATGAAATAGACCCTTTACCCAAGGTTTCCCCAGAGATAACATCGTGAAAACTCAACATCAGATCACAACCGGGATATAATGATACAGTCAAGCTATAGAGCATTCCTCACCAAGATCCCCGCAGCCCTTTCATAGTTATACCCACCTTCCACCTCTAACCCCTTCCTTTTAACCCCTGCCAACCACTAATCTGTTCTGTATTTTTATAATTTGTTATTTTGAGAATGTGAAATAAATGGAATCATATGGCATGTAACCTTTGGAGATGAGTTTTTTTTTTTTACTGAGCATAGTTATCTGGAAATTCATTCAGGCTGCTTTGTGTATCAATAGTTTCCTGTTTATTATGGGCTAGTGTTCCATGGTATAGATATACCATAGTTCATTTAACCATTCACCCATAAAAAGACATCTGGATTTTTTTTCAACTTTTGACTATTACAAAGCTATGTGCATTCATGTATAGATTTTTGTGTGAACATAGTCTTTGTTTCTCTGGAATAAATGTCAGATGATTGATCATATCATAATTACTAATTTCATTTTTTAAAGGGTTGCCAAACTATTTTCCAAACCACTTTATACTCCCACCAGCAATTTCTGAGTAATACAATTTCTTCAAAATCTTTGTCAGCACTTGGTGTTGTCACTTTTTTTTATTTGGCCATTCTGACAAATGTATAGTGATATGTTACTGTGATTTTAATTTTCATTCCCTAATGGCTAATGGCTAATGATGTTGAACATCCTCCCATGTACTTACTTGACATCTGTTTATCTTGAAGAAGATACTTTTTATCTTTATTCCTTGAAGAAGATAAACCTTCTTCCTTCATGTTTTCTGCCCATTTTCTCACTGGGTTGTTTGATTTTTTTGTTGAGTTTTGGCAGTTCTGTGTATTCTAAATATTAGTCCTTTGTCAGAGATGTGGTTTGCAAATATGTAATGTGTCTTTTCATCTTCTTAACAGGGTCTTTCACAGAGAACAATATTTTAATTTTGATGAAGTCCTATTTATCAATTCTTATTTTCTGGATCAAGCTTTTTGGTGTCAAGGTAACTCTTTACCTAGCCTTAGATTGAAGCTTTTTTCCCAAGTATTTTTCTAAAAGTTCTTAAGTTTTACATTTTACATTTAGCTCATGATTCATTTTGAGCTAATTTTTGTATAACATGTAAATTTTAGGTTAAGGGTTTTGGGGAGAGGGTTTTTGGTGGGGCTGGAACCCTTACAAGGGTTTTGGGGGGGAGTATGTTTTCTTGTTTTTGTTCTTGTTTTGCAGATGCATATCTAAGTGTTCCAGCACTACTTGAAAAGTCTACTCTTTTGTGATTTTGTCAAAAATCAGTTGGGCCTATTTACGTAAGTCTGTTTCTAGGTTCTCTCCTCTGTTCCATTGATATAATTATCCCTCCACGAATACCACACTGCCTTAAATACTGTAGCTGTACAGTAAGTCTTAAAATCAGGTATAGACTGTACTGCTTCTCCCTCCTACTTGTTTTCCAAAATATTTTAGCTATTCTAGTTCCTTTGCCTTTCCATATAAATTTTAGAATAGTCTTATCTATACCTACAAAATAACTTGCTGGGATTTTTTTAGGAATTGCATTAAATCTATATCAGTTTGGAGAGAATCAACATCCTTGCTATATTGAGTCTTCTAATCCATGAATACGATACAGCTCTCCATTTATTTAGAGCTTCTTTGATATTTTTAATCAGAATTATACCTAACTACTCATCTTTTTTAAAGCAATTTTAACTGATATTTTTAGTTTTGGTGTCTACAGATTTGTTGCTACTACATAGAAATGCAACTGACTTTTGAATGTTTATCTTTTATCCTGCATATTTGATGAACTTTCTTACTAGTCCTCTGTGTTTTTGTAGAATCCTTAGGGTTTTCCACATATTCATGTCAGACAGGCAAATGAAAACCATAGAGAAAAGTAAACTAAAAAATAAAAGGGCAGGCTTAAGCTTTAACTTGACCAATAGTTACATTAAATGTAAATGATCTAAATATACCAATTAAAAGATAGAGATGGACATAGTAGATTAAAAAACATGACCCAACTATATGCTGTCCACAAGAAATCTACTCACATATAATGATATAGCTTTTAAAAACTCATAGTTTTATTTCTTCCTTTCCAGACCCCTTATTTCTTTTTCTTGCCTTGTTCCACTGCGAAGAACTTCCACTATTAGGCCAAATACAAGTGATGAGAGTAGACATCCTTGTCTTGTTCCTGATCTGAGGTAGGAAAGCATTCAGTCTTTCACCATTAAACACAAGGTTAGCTATAGATTTTTATACATACTCTTTATCGAGTTGAGGATGTTCTCCACTATTTCGATTTTCTGAAAGTTTTTATTATGAATGTGTATTGAATATTGCCAAATGCTTTTCTATATCAATGGATACGATCATGTAATTCTTCTTTAGCATGTAAATATAGTTGATCACACTGATTGATTTCTGTATATTCAGCTGAATTGCATCCTTGGGATGAACCACACCAGGTCATTGCATATAATACTATGTTCTGAATTGTATTTGCTATTATTTTGTTAAGGTCTTTTATATCTATATTCATAAGGGATAGTGGTCTCTAACTTCCTTTTTTTCTTACTTTCTTTGATTTTGGTATCAGTGTACTACTACTTTCATAAAATAAATTATCTTATCTCTTTTTCTATTTTCTGGAAGAAATTGTATAAAATTCTTGTTAATTCTTTACATCTTTGGTAGATTTCTCCAGTGGAACAATGTGAGCCTGGAGATTTCTTAATGTGGAGTTTTTGAATTATAAATTCAATTTCCTTAATTCTTACAGGGCTATTCAAGTGATCTATTTCATATTGAATGAATTGTAATAGTTTGTGCTTTCCAAATTGATCTATGTCATGTTTAGTTATTCAGTAAATTAGAGAATACTGAAGTCCCAAACTATAATTATGGATTTGTTTATTCTCTCACTTCTATCAGATTTTGTCTCACATATTTTGCAGCTTTATTGTTTGATGCACACACCCTTGGAATAACTGTGTCTTCCAAACTGTTAGACCAAACAGTCTCCTTAGTGGACTGACCTTTTATCACTATGTAATATATCCCATTCTTCTCTCTAATAATTTTATCTGATATTAATGTAGTCACTCCTACTTTTTCAATAGTTAATGTTTGCATGGTATATCTTTTTCTATCTTTTAACTCTTAATATAGCTATATCATTATATGTGGGTAGATTTCTTGTGGACAGCATGAAGTTGGGCCATGTTTTTTAATCCAGTATGTCCATCTCTAACTTTTAATTGGTGTATTTAGATCATTTATATTTAATGTAACTCTTGGTCAAGTTGAAGCTTAACCCTGCACTTTTGATTTTTAGTTTACCATTCTCTTTGGTTTCCATTTCTGTTTTCCTTTGCCTGCCTTCCTTGTGCATTGTTTGAACACTTTTGCAATTCCATTTCGATTGTACTGATTTTGAATGAATCTCTTCGTATAAGTTTAGTGGTTGCTCTAGGTATTACATTTTATATACATAACTCATCACAGTCTACTGGTGTCATCATCTTTCCAGTTTGAGTGAAATATAGAAACCTTTCTTTATATCTTATTACCCTCTCCAGTTTATAATTTTTAAAAATAATTTCCTCTACATACATTTAGAACCACATCACACAATGTTATAATTTTTTATTCAACCATCAAACATAATTTAGAAGACAAAAAGAAAAGGGAAATGTATTGTATGTACCCATATTTTTACCCTTTCCATTGTTTTCTTCCTTCTTATATTCTAAGATTTCTTCCTTTATCCTTTCCTTTCTGGAAAGGGAACTTAGATCAGCAATTCTTCTAGGAGAGTTTTGCTGGAAACAAATTCTCTTTGGTTTCTTTGAATTGATGTCTTGATCTACCCCTTCATTCCTGATAACATTTTACCTGGATGTAGACTTCTGAGTTGACAGTTCTTTAATTTTAGCACTTCAAAATCACTGTGCCACTTCTTTCTGGCCTTTGTGGTTTCTGATGAGAAATCTGTCAAATTTTTCCCCTTATAAGTAAGATGTTTTTCTCTCACTTTCAAGATTTTATCTTTAGTTTTCAGATGTTTGACTACAATGTATCTTAGTGTGAGTTTATTTTCACTTAATTCTGAGGTTCACTCAGATCCTTGAATTGATAGGTTTATGTCTTTTGTTGAATTTATAGCTTTCAGCCATTTCTTCAAGTACTTTTAGAGGTCTAACTTTTTTCTCCTTTCCTTCAAAGACTTCAATTACATGAATGTTAGACATTTTTGTTTCAATCCCACAGGTCTTTGAGGCAATGTATCACCCACCAACTCACACAAAAGTTATTTTCTCTTGGTTTTTCAGATTGAGTAACTTCTATTGTTCTATCTGTAAGTACATTGAGTCTGTCCTTTGTCCACTCCAGTCTACTGCTGAACCCATACACTGGGTCCATTTTGGTTGATATATTTCCATGTTCTAAAATTTCATTTGGTTTTTCTTTATATCTTCTTTCTTTGCTGAGACTTTTGATCTTTTCATTTATTTCAAGAATGTGTGTAATTATTCCTTGAAGGATTTTTATCATGGCTACTTTAAAATTGTTGGAGATAGTTCTACCATCTCTGTCATCTTATTGTTGGTGTGTATTGCTTATCTTTTTTCACACAAGTTGAGATTTCCCTGGTTGGTGTGATGAATAGTTTTCATTTGAAATGGGGACATTTTAGATTTTAGGTTATGAGACTCTTGATTTCATTTGACACTTCTGATTTAGCTGGCTTTATCTGACACCATTCCAGCAGCAGAGGGGGGCTGGGTGCTGCCTCATTTATGGTGGGCAAGGGTCTGAGTTCCACTAGGCCTGCTCAGATACCACAGGGCTGATGAAAGTCCTGACTCTGCACTAGGCCTCCTCTGACACCACTGTAGGGGGGAGGGGAGGGGGTGTTGTTACTTGGTGGAAGTGGGAGAAGTAGTTCAGGCTCCCCACAAAATCCTCACTGATAGCAGAGTGGGTGGGGGGTGGGGGGGGTTTCTTACTGCCTGACAAGGATGAAGGTCTCGGCTCCCTATTTGACTTCTCTAATATCACCTGAGTCGGGGGTTGGGGTGTCCCTTTACAATCTGGCAGGATGGAAACCTAGGCTCCCTGCTCACTCTTCGCTGGTGGGGTGGAGGTGAGGACCACAGTGTCTTCTGGAGTGTCTGGCTAGAGTAGGAAAGTTATCATCCAAAATACGGACCTCAGGGCTGCCTCTTCCCCCATCCTTGGTCTAGAGAGGGTAGGGTTTTGCTTGGACTTTTGCTAAGGCATTTCCAGGTTGCTGGCTTCTTCAGCTCTAAGCTTGGATATATGAGGCAAAACGAAATCCCAGTAAGCTCACCGCCTGTGGTTCCTCAGCCCTGAGGCTCCCAGCTAGCCTGCTTTCTTCTCTCTGCCTTGCAGTCTTCTCAAGGTCATTTTATGTAAAACGTTCAGGCTTTTCAGTTGTACTCAGTGGGAGGAATAGGGAAAGTGTCTTTACTCCAGCTTCCCAGAAGCAGAAGTCTAGTATCGCTTTTCTTTGTAGTCATTAGTTTTAAGATTATGTGACACTGGCCTCCTGAGAAAGATATGAAAACAACTACTTAATCTTATTTTCAAAAGCAGCCAATTTTATCCATTATAAAATGGGAGCTGTACAACCAGTAATTGTCAGAATTTAAATTAATTGCACATTTTACTGTCTTGCACCTTTTCTGCTGACTCACTTCTTGTTGAAGTCTTACTTAACTACCAGCCCTAGTGTTCTACTCCCATTCCACAGTAACCAGATTGAATATCCAGGGAACGATGACCGACGAGAGGTAGTGAGGGACTGGCTGGGCTGCTGAGAGCGAAGGCCTGGGCAGCAGAGCTGCACACAGGGCACGATGGGAGGCGTACAGGGATCACGGGCTGGCTCTACTCTCAAGAAGCATCTGGGGGCAAAGAAGGGGAAGTATTACTGAAGTAACTTTGCGAAGGGGAATGCAATGAATTGTCCAACAGAATTTCTGAGGAAACAGAAACAAGTGACATGCTGGGCCTGGAAGGGTTTCCACAGTGGCTTCCGGCTGGGGGAGAAGAGGGAGTGATTCTGGTGTAATTTGAGGTGACAGAGCATTTGCTTCCGCAGGTATCTCTTGCTTACATTGGCCATTTGTTATTTACAATTCAAAATCACTTAAGGGTTTATCTTTCACTATGTGGCTCTCATCCTACTGAAATCCCAGTTCAGGGGCCTCTCTATTCATTCATGACTGCTGAGTTTGCCAGAGCATTTTCTGCTTTCTCCTCCCTTGAATAT